ACCTTTCAGGCTGTGCGGCGCATGTACACCGAGGCGGATGCTCCTGGTGGCTCTCTAATGTGTGAGATGCCATGGAATGAGCTTCCTATGGTGGGGTACGTCGTCATGAAGTTTCAAGACTTCCGGAAGGCGGTCCAGCTCCAAAGGATGAGGCGGAATGGAAAGGCCATGATCGAGATATTGATCACGAGGCCTGATGAGTACGAATCAATTGGAGATGGGAGGCCGGATGAGGGCTTGGTGCCGATTACGGCGACTTTGCGCCCTGATGCTGAGGTATCGCCTTTGTGGTACGTCAGGGACAGGCTACGGAACTACTCAGGTAGGTACGTGGTGGTCATGGTGGATCTTCGGGTGCACTGGTCGTTGGTTGGGCCCGTGTTTCTGACCAGGAGAAAGACTCTTGCCGTTCGGGACGAGATCCAGATGGGTACGTGGAAGGCTGCGTATATGTTCGATGATTACACGATAGTGTATCATCGCGTTTGGGAATATGGTGACTTCACTCCCGATAGGGGAAATCACAGGCGGACGCGTGAGGGCGTCAGGCTGAGCGTGACTAGCACCTTCTGTTTGAGGTGCGCGGAGCTCACGCCATCTGGGATGCATTTGTGCCCCGGTTGTGCGCTCCCGGTCTTTTATCCGAACTTTATCCCCAACGCGGACGTGGAGGACTTCGTTAGGAGCCAAATCGTCCCGGACTGGGTGAGGAGCACGGGACAGTTTAGTCCCCGGAGGATCGCTTCCGATGTGGTCGGGGTCATCAAGAGGAACCTGATTTCCTATTCGATGGCATCCGACCTGAGGCTGACGGTGCAGAGTGGGATCAGGCTGCCTCCTTATCTCGGTGAAGACAAGGGTGGCGTTGACGCGGCGTGGGATGAATTGGCAAAGGTGCTTTTCCAGTCCTCCTACGTGTCGGGCATCTCGGCCTCGGACGCATTCGTGGAGAAGTGGGTGGCGAAGCATCTGATCAAGACCGACCAAACCGATAGATTTGAGTCGGTGACGGATTACTTCCGAGCGAATCCGGCGCATGCGGCCCAGTGGGGGAGACGTATGACGACTTCCGTTAGGAAGTTCGCACGTCACGACACGTATTTGTGCTTTTACATCCCGATGGCCTATGTGATCGGTGCTGCTGCGGGTCATTTGACTCCGATGTACCCGACCCATAGGGATGATGTGGAAATCCTGGCCAGCCATCGGTTGATGTCGGACCTCAGGAACTACCTGGTCTCGTCTACGGGGTATGATGAGAAGAAAAGGTTGAGGGAGGCGGTAGCCAAAGTGCAGAAAACAAACAGTGCTGGACAGTCGGAGCCTCCTGCTCCTTTCCGGGACCCATTCGTCTACGTTAGTGACGATCGGGTGAGGGCCGTTCTTGGTGCTCAGCAACCGGAGCCGGTTGATGTGAACATCGAAGGGCTTCAGTCGGTACATCATGTTGCTCCGGGTCCTGGTCCAAAGCAGGAGCCGGTCACCAAGGGTGGAAAAGGAAAAGGGAAGAAGGGCGAGAAGGGTGGTAAGGGCGATAGTCCTTCCGACCCACAACCGAAGTCAGGCGAGGCATCGGGCAAAGGATCTGGCAAGGGCGATAGTCCTGCCGCTCCGAAGGCAAAGGCTAAGGCTGACGCTGGGCCGACTCCGATGGAGGTTGATCCGCCGGAAGGTCAAGCGAAGAAGTCGTGGATCGCGGTAGCGGTCGAAGGAGCTCGACCAAGTGCAAAGGCAAAGGCAACTTCAGCCCCGAGGTCTGAGCCGAAGGGAAAGGGAACTCCGGCTTCTGAGTCGAAAGGCTCTCAAGCTCCGAGGACCGAGCCCAAGGAGAAGACGCGTGGAGACCCCAAGGTTGAGGTCAAGCAGGAGAAGGGGAGCGGAGATGATGCTCCCGGCGATAGCCGGGGCTCAGCCGATAAGCAAAGGAGAGAGAGAAAGTCTCGTTGGGATCATGAGGTGCCTGCTAAGGAATCAACGAAGCGGGAGGCATCGAAGAGACCCGATGATGTCGACAGCAGGCCAGGTGCAGCGGCGAGAGAGGCAAGTGGAGACGACCTTCACTCCGCGCTTGGTAGGTCTTCGGCAAAGGACGCGGTAGCGCCCCTGACGGCTTCCAAGGCAATGGCGAAGAAGCCAGAGGGGAGCGAAGTCAGGCTGCACTCGGCGGGGCGAGCTGCCGCAAGCCCGGTGGAAGGTCATTTCAAGACGCTACCGGATGCTTCTATGGTGGATGCGTTCCTGGGGATGTCATCCGATAGGGCGCTCAACAGACAGGTGAGAGACTTCATCAGGAACGGCGAAACAAGTTCGGCTTTGGAAGCTCTCAACCAGATCGTGGCGAACTCCCACGCGGGGCGGATACGTCGGGGTACCGATGTTTCCCGAACGCCGTCTAGGAGGTCCGATAGGACACAGGACGCTAGGGATTCCCGAGAGTCGAGAAGGCGAAGATATCGACCACGGAGGGACGAGGGAGAGACGATCGTCGGGATCATCGGGATGATGATTCGCTGGAACGCGACAGAGATCGACGGAGAGATGATCGCAGGAGATCCGAGAGGGATCGCGACAGGGACCGTGCACGGGGCGGACGTGACCGGAGGAGGCGTGATGATAGCCGGTAGGCTGATTCACGAGGGTTGCGGCCGGTAGGCTTGCACCCGCCCTCCAATGGTCAACGCTGCGGGGTGATGATCACGTTCATCCTGCACCGCTGAGGCGTGTTGTCCATGCCTCTCCTGTACCGCTGATCTGCTGCTGGTGATGGTCACCAAGAAGTAGTGTGAGTGAGCGGGGGAGCAAACCAGTGGAGGGTACTCCCAGGTTTGCAAAAGTAGTATTCTATTTCAAGTATGCATGGTCAGGTGTACCTCTCGCCGATAGGCAAGGGTACAGATTGGACTTCTGATATCCTTTTTCATGCTTTCTGATAAGAATTAAACTTCTTGCATTTCTGATGCAAACAGTTGTGACCTATTGTCGTCATGTGGACTTTTCCACAAGGTATGTTGGACAGCGTTACCCCGATTAATTCGGGGTGGTGGCGGGAATTTAATGCCCGGGATGTCGCGCAACTGCCTTTGTGGGTTTGCTCCACCGCTGACGGCGGTAGTGTCCAGCTGTTTGCGGACGCATGCGAGCAGTTAAATCCTATCAGTAAATGGCACGCTCCACCCGTCATATGACGGGCTCCTCGTGAGGGGGGTGTGATTAGCCATGGTTTATTTCATCACCAGGGATGTCGCGGTAGTGACTGACCTGTGGTGTTTGGCTCAAGTTTTGGGTTCCGTCGCGCCTCGAATGGGCGTCGCCGAACCCCTGCGTCGACCGACGGCATCTCGGGGGAGAAAGAGACCTCGGGCCGCCGCCAGGTTGGTAGGGACCAGTCGTGCGGCCTGTTGTCGACCAAGGTTGCGGGTTAACCCTTTTCTTGTTTGGTTTGTTTTCCTTTGGTTGTTGTTCTCTGGTGTGTGGGAAACCCTGATCTTTGGGACCGGGGATTGGTTTGCTTTTGGGGAACCTTTCTTTTGTGGCTTGTTTACCCCAACTAACCCATTGCCTGGGCACAGGCTCGTGCCCGAATCACATCTATTTTAGTTTGGATTGGGATGTTCACTGGGGGTACGAATTGTTTGACCCATGGCCAGGTGTTTTCCTGACCCAAAAAGATTCAAGACGAAGCCAATGGCACTCCGGCGGGGTGGAAATGGGGAAGAAAACACGCAGCCTTGGGGCAGAAATCAAGCAAGTTTCCTTTAAAGCCAACCAAAAGGGAGTACCCGCAAGAAAAGACGAGCCACCCACTTTAGTATCACACACACAGACAACTGGGGGGGGGGGGGGGTTGTCAAAAGGGGCCCTTTGAAGGGTAGCGCCTTGAACGGCACCAAACTCAGTTTTAGCCCCCACAACTCACATCCCACGTTTCAGGTCTTGGTGAACTAAACCCCCGGAGAAAAAAGAAACCAAAACTTCCAGGGCTGTGGTATGATCCGGATTGACACCCGAAATCATCCAGGGGCTTCGCATTACCTTGTTGGGATCGCAGTTTTAGCGGAAAACTACGACATGTTTAGCCTAGCCTTTGTTTGCCAATCCACTCAAAAAGTGATGGAAAGGGTGACGGTCTGCTGAGGATGGAGGGACCAGCTCACCCTTCGGATCATCCACCCAGATGGTTTCCATTTGTGTTGTGTTGGTTTGTCGGGTTTTCAAGAACAAACCATCAAATAAATGACAAACCTTTCAATACTGCGGATGAACCAAACAATATGCACAAGTTGCCATGGATCCCACCAGGGTAAGCAGCTACCAACTTGCGCGGGTTTTGTCCATCCCCACTATGCTTCTCTGGCTCATTTTTTGTAGGGGGCTGCAAAGATCCTTAAGTATATCTTGCCAGCCCATACCAAGAGTGGAAAGTATGGCGAAGGTTCCCTTGAAGGGCCTTGGGAGTTTCACACTTGAAGATCATGCTGGTCTTTGCCCAAAGCAAACCCACCGGATCTGACCAAAATCGTTTCCCGTTCCGATTTTTGGTTCTGGTCTTGAAAAGTGGACTTTTATGTGTGGGTCCTTTTGGGCCACTGAGTTTAATAGGAGCAACGTGGTTTTTTGTTGTTGTTTTTTTCCGATGTCCATGCTTTAGTCGCAAAGGACGTGGGTTTTCATTGAAGCCGATCAACACCCAGCGACTTTGGGCGAATTCGCACGGAAGCAAATCTTGCAACATGCCTCGAAAGGCCAAGGGCCGAAAGAGGGGTCCTTGTCGATTCTGCGATGCCCTCGCTTGAAGTCATACGGCTGGCAATATAAATAGAGAGCAACCTGAAAAGTGGTTGGTAGACATAAATTCCCTATTTGCTGTCCCCTAATGTTCACGCCCGTACGTGTTTTGTGTTTTCCAATGCACCCTCTTCGGGGGGGTTAGTTTAAAGGGAAACCAAACAGAGCCCAATAAATTTGAAGGTCCAGATCCGTTCGACACACCGAGCTCTGAGGAATGGACCAGCAAATGATGGACGCCTGGGCGTTGCTCGCCAGCGGCCACAACAACGAGGCCGTCGCTTCGGTCGGGGCTGGCTGCTTTTCTTGGGGGTTCCCATTTGTAGTCCTCCCCAAAATGATCTTTTAACCGTTTTCACTCTGGGTCCCTAAAAGCCAACTGAGAAGTTCAAACTCTGCCAGGTAGAACCAAGCCCAAAGGAGCTGTGCAGCCTCTCAAGTCACCGAGGGTTATTCGAGCTGTTCCGAAGGCGGCGCAGGAATGATTGGATCATGCTTCCACCGGCGCTCGGCGGTTAGCGTCGTGGTTTGGCTTGGCTCCGAACTCATTGAAGCTGTCCCATTGGTTCGGTCCAAGGCGTTGCTGGTGAATTCGACCCCCCCACCAAAAAAAAAACAGTCGAACACCGGAGGACCATTGGGAAGATCCCAACTCGCAAGAGCCCAGGAACCAGCCGACGCGGTGATGTGTTGCTCGCTTTGGAGCATCCCGCGGCGATTCACAGAAAAAATACCCAAATATATACCTCAAAAAAACCAACTAACAAAGATACAGGGGGAACCAGGGATCCGGGAGGATTCCCCCTAAATGCACCTTGACTAAGTTAATGGGAAATGGCGACAAGTTGGAATCCCCCCATATCCCCGCTCCCTCCGAATCCCCGCTTGTTCGTTGGTCATGCCAGCACAGGCCCTGCCAGCAAAAGCCGCTCAACAAAACCGCCGGGCTGTATATCCTGACGCTATTGTGGTTTTGGTAGGTGGTGCTTAGGCTAATCTTGTTAGGATCGCCCAACCATTGCTTCAGTGGTAAGCACCTGGCTGGCTCCCTACACTGCGTCTTTTAGGGGATGCCCTAAATGTTGTTCTGCCTTTTTGTTGTTCCTTTAAAGCCACCAAACAGGAGTACCAAGCACACCCGTATGTTGTCCCTTTGTGTGAGGTCGGGGGAAATATTGGCCGAGAGCCCAAGACCCCCTGCCGTTTGAGACGGGCTGGGTGTCTCGATATCACTTTCTGCAGGCACAGAGATTCTTCGCAGTCTCCACCAGCCGTATCAATGGCGCCTGGGCGAATTTGAGTCGTTGTTTTTTCCTATGACGACCTTTGACTCGTTGCTTTTTCCTTTTTTCCTACTCGAGTTGATTGATGCGAGGTGCCACAACGAAGTTATGCCCTTTTGCTTGGTGTGCCAATGGATCACTATTCGCCACGTTTGTATGGTGCGTTTGCATCGTAAACATGCAAACTGAATCAGATAGCGGCACGGTTACGACGCGGATTCCGAAAAGATTCACGCAACTCGGTCAACCGTTTCGGCAAAGGCACGAACCCAAGCCTGGGATTGTCTGGCGATTTTCTTCCCTAAGCATTGATTTCCGTTGACCTGCCCCACTAACTTGGAAAACCACCCCTCATTGCAGATGGGTGTCTTCCATTTGCTGAAATGAATATGTGTTATTTTCCCCTGTTGGTTTTAAGGGAAATCTATCACTATGGGATTTTTTGCAGGGGACTCAAGCAAATGGAGGGTGTGAATTGGAGATGCGGATATCATGTATATTGGTTCTTCGGAACACCCAGGTGCTTTGGGACCCTTGTTGCCAGCTAGCCCAAGTGCATTTCATGTTGGTATGTCCAAAATGAGAATCCCTAAGCCACGCCAATGCTTCAGGTTTCCAAACCGCCCCCATCCCGATTTGTTACCCAGCTTGTTTGCTCTGCCATAGCCCAAGGCCCACAAAAATGAGGGCCAGCATTACCTGCGTCATGATTTGACTGCGTGTTGCCCAAGCCAGGAGGTGCTTCCCTGGAAAACCTTTCCCTTGGGTCATGCCGGCGATGACACATGGGTGGATTGCGCCATGGGTGGATTGGGCCAAGGAGACTCCAAGGATCAAATGTGTAACTCGTTGGGGTTCAAAGACCAAGCCAATACTTCCATTTAGCTTAAGGATAGTTCTTGCCTTTCCCCTGTTGGCTTTAAAGGGATAGGGCCCCCCCCAAAAGAAAAAGGACTCCAAGAATGAGATGGTGAACTGGGTTGTAAGACCAAATTGCAGGAAAAAATGAGAAATGAAAGGGTTCCAAGACCTTCCGCAATCAAAGACGTCGGCCGCCCAGGCGACTTTGTGTACTTCATCTTTCAGCACATGCGGCACCGCGGCTGCGAGGTGCTTCAGGCCCCCTATTTCGCAGGCGCGGGGCAAGGGCGAAGGGGGCGAGGAGGGGGGCGGGGTCGTGGGCCCGGGAAAAGCGAGCGGAAACCGGGAGGGAGTCTTGCTTCCCGAGTCCCTGCACTTTAGGTGGTAACAAAAAAATGAAATACATGGTGGCTCCCAGCCATCCGATTCCTTAGCTTTCTCACTTTTTGGTGTTTAGTGGGGATGTCCATATAACCCCCTAAAGGTTAGACTTTTAGAGGGGGATCTGAGGACAGCCAAGAAAAGGTCGATCTTGGAACTGAGTAATCCCTGTTTTTTGTTGGCGGCAGCTACTTTTTTTCGAGTGGCTGTTTTGTTGGTAAGGGCAAAAGGGAAAGCTGCCTCTCTTTCTTTGCGAAGCGGGGTCCCTCAAAAGAGACACACCAACATCTTTTGTACGCATGTTGGTAGATCTAGAAGTCAGTGGGTTCTCACTTGTTTCGGAGCACGATGTCAAGCCTGAGCCTAAAAGTGGGTAGTGGGTAGGGGGGCAGATGGGATTTCCTTTGAGAAGGTACAGTTTGGATAGACTCCTCATCTCCAGAAGGGTAAGCAAAGTACGAAAAGCGCCATAGATCTCGGCCTCCATGGGCCCCTTTTTCCCCTGTCGTTTCCCCTGCCCATCAGCAGTCACTTTGGCTCAACGGAGCGTCGGAGCTCGACATGAGTCACAAGTTTCGACCAGGTACGCAGTTGGTGCACTTTGCTGAGCAGGGCGTGGTTCAAGCCGTTTTCGGACCGCCTGGATTACTGCCGCTCGGAAACACATTTCCGACATTTGTGGGGGGGTGGCAAACAGAGACCCCACAGTTCAGTTGGGATTGGGACCCCAAAAATGGTAGTCGTTCTTTGGGTTTCCCTTGAGAACCCACTAAAAGGGTTTCCCCAAGAGCAAACCACCCAAATTATCCATCCACGACAGAAGTTGGTACGTAGTGATCCGGTATAATGGCAACAATGGTTTCCTGCTGGGTTTTCCTTTGAATACCAACCAAAAGAGGTTTGTGGTTTCTAAGTTGTGAAGCCCTCAGATGTCCCCTCCAAAAACAACGGCCAAAGTTTATGACTTCGAGATCAATCCAAGATCAACTTTTGCTGAAATGAAGATGTGGTACGTCCCCTTTTCGATCTTGAAGGGAATCTACTTCGCTACTGGAAATATGTCCTCATATTTCCCAGACGGCTTAAACAAATGGAAGTAAAGAATATTTGTTATTTTCCCCAGTTGCTTTTTTAGGGAATCGATTTCACTCCTGGAAGTATGTGTTTGTTTGTTTTTCTCCAGGGGGACTCCACTGCAAATGGAGGGATACCCTCCCCCTCAGATTCAAACTCAATCAGCCCATGTCCGGGGGTCTCTTCAAATCGAACCCTACTAGCCCCTGATCGGCCTCTTTACTTCCCCAGAGTTAGTTTCCCTTTTTACTTTTTTGCTTTTTTGGGGTTCCCTTTGTTTTCCACTAACAAGGCAAAAAAGTATTTTTTTGCTGGAGTCCTAGTTTCAGCCAAGTTTAGTTGTCAAAATCGCCCATATTGGGGGGTCGGGGTGGGGTATTGGGGGGCCCTTGACAACCGTCGGAAAATTGGAATTGCTGCAAGGTGCAACATGTGTTTGTTTCTTGGTGGCAAGCCCAGCCGTCCGGTACAACTTATCTGTTTTGCTTTTTCGCGTTTAGTGGGGTTCCAAATTTAACCCACTAAAAGTTAAACTCTTAGCAGGGGATCAGAAAACGGACAGCCCGGCAACAAGATTATTGTTTGCTTCAAGGGGCTGAGAAATACTAAGACCATGGTCCTTTTTCGCGGCTATGACCTGATGTGTTATGGTACCTCGAACCCCGGCCCCCCTCCCACAACAGTCTATGTATTTCCCTAGTTCTACCCCAAAATCTGATAACTCTCAGTTGATTCATTGGTTTGGATTGGTTTGGGGGTTGGTTAACCGGCTCAACCGGGGTTGGTTTTCAAGAGAAAAAAAAATCGCCTCGGCTCACAGACTCCAAACCTTCAGTTGGTGGAAGCCAAAGCCAGACACAAGTTGGAGATTGAACCAAGACTGGATTATGCGATTCCACTCGGGTTCCTGCCCCGCACTCAAAATACCTGTTTTTTTCAGGGTATTTTTGGGAAAGCCTGGGTTTCCATGGTAAATTCATCCTTTTTTAGTAGAGGGTCGACATGATACCCTGAAAAAAGAGGGTATTTGGAGTAGGGGGTGGATTATGCAATATCAAGTCGAAGAAAATGCAGGTTCTTCGCCTTTGGGTTTCTACCCCCGAAGGATGGGCAAGGCTTCATGGCGGGCAACTCCACCTGAATTTTCAACGATGCGGGTCCCTTGAAAGGGTTCGAAGGGTTTGGAATGATGACCCTCCCAACAAGAAGCATGGAACCTCACGTTCGGGACCCGGTCCCTTTAAAAGGAAACTGGGGCAAACTAGGACCCCCCTGTCAGGTTCCATGTTAATTGCCGGGAGGGTATCACGTGTGGAGAAATGTTGTGTTCATCGGCAATGACCCTCGCATTGCCCTTTTCGGGATTTGGAAGTTGTTTTCGAGTTTGCCGAGTTTCGCCATGTGTTGTGCCATTTCAGGGTTCCCTCATGTTTCATTTAAACCAGCAAGACGCTACCAGTTCAGGTGTTGGAGTGTCGTACATGCAGGGTGTCACCTGAATTGACACCCACATGGCTTGTCCATGAAACAAGCGCTTCGGGTGTTTCCAGGCCCCAAACGGGCTCGACCAGTTTGATAGTAAACAAACCAGTCCCTGGACTTTGTTTGGCCATCGGAACTGAGTCGAGCTGCATTCGACTCCGGGTTTTCCCACCGGACTCCGTTCGCCAATCTTCGCTCGGCGAGGCTTTTCGGGCTGAGCATGGCGGCGCTCCGCCCAACTGGGGGGGCGAGTGGGGCAGCGCCAAGCCTTTGGGTCCTCGGTGCCCTTTTCGGCCTCAAAGGGACGCCAAAAACCGCTGGTTTTGGAGGTCACCGTTTTTGGAAGACTCAGTTCAACCCCAGACACCCAGTGGCTTGAAAGCCGCCTTCTTCCTTTTTGGGAGGGGTGGGCTCCTTTTAGAACCGACCAACAAGAGGGTGCCCTGTGTTAGTTAGCCTGTCTCCGAAAGCTCCAAATGGAGAGTGTTGCAGAACCAGCTCCGTGATGCAGTCCGTTTGTTTCCTGGTGGTGTTTTTTTTTAAGAACCAGGTTTGTAGTAGAAAAAATGTCCCTATCACACGCTGACCAACTCGGTTAACGTTGGGGGTCCGTGCGATCAATACTGGCTCATATGAGCAGCGCCCGAAAACCCCAAGTGGCCCATTTGAGTAGGTGGTTCTACTATTGGTTTGACTGGCTTACCACCCGGTAGAAACCCACCCTTTGCAACGGTTGACTATTGGTTCTGAGCGCGGACACTCCAGACACTCTATCTAGCACCCAGGAACAGTTTCTAGTTGCCTGGTTGTTGCTTTAAAAGGGGACCGCCCACTGTGCTACACCGGACAACTATGGTAAATCTAAGTAATCTAGAGGGTTTCCTTGTTGCCTCGCTTGCAATATTTCGGCATCCACCGCAGGCACTGGTTTCTGCGGGCTACCCGCAAGATCCTCACGAAAGGTATTAGTGCCTTCATTTGGGGGTTTCTCAAATATGGGATCAAATCCAAAAAATGTGGTGTTCCCCGACTAAAATAGACAGAGAAACATTGGGCACCCTTATTCTAACCTCTCTGGAGGACCTATCATGCGGAGGTTCTTGCTCAACATGGATGCAAGAGAGAAGTCATGGACTGGTCTGTGAGGAGGACGCAGGTCTTCAAATCGGAACCTCTGCCCAGAAGTTGACACATTTTCTTTGAACCGCCCAGTGCTTGGGGTCCAATTGTTTACCTCTCGGGGAGATGTTCCCTTTAACCTAGGTACACTCACATTCATGGGTTACCTCTCAGAATGGACGAAAATAAGGCCTGCCGGTTTTCCTCACCGCCCGAGTCCACTTCCTTTCCGATCCAAACCCTTGTGCAGGACACCATGGAGGTGATGATTCGCACGGATTCAGCAGAACCCCCTTGATTTTGATGGGTTTTTTTTGGTGGGAATAAGGGATCGATCGGAGTCAACGTTCAGAATATAACCTTCGTTGGCCCTCATCTGAATCGGGTCGACCATTTTTTTTGGGCGGCTGTTCATCCTTTTGGGTTTCGTGACATGGCTGGCGGCTCATGTGGTTCTGTTTCCATCAAACTGGGGGTGGATTCTGTGTGTTCCATCAAAGCCCTTGCTTCTGGCTGGTTTGGGGCTACGAAACGTTTGGGTTGGGGTGGAAGCGCAGCCAAGCTCTGCCTGAGATTGTGAACATCGACTTCAACTCAGCCACCTTCGACTGGATCGACTTGGAGCGGATCCTGGAGAAGTGGCGTCTTGGCCATAAGGCTCAGCTTCGGCGAAGAGCTGAAGCTTGGGGGGTCTCCTAAGACGAGACGAGTTGGGTCGGATTGCCTATGAGCTAGGTCTATGAGCTAGGTGCAGTAGTGCCCTTTCTAGTCAATAAATATGGACCCCTTAGCCCCCTACAGGCATGATAACTTGCCTGGTAGGTCTTGCAGGTTTCACTTGGACATGTTTGAGGGTTGCATGGATTGACAGGTTGCCGAATGTCGAACGCCATCTGGCTCAAGCGCTTGCGTTAGCGGATCACTGAGCTAGGGACCAAAACCCCCGGGGAATCGCTGAGGGATTTAATAACCATTAGTCCACCTCTGCTTTGTTTGGGCGCTGCCTTTGGCGCACTTTTTGGGGGGGGAGATTCGGTTCCCCTGCTAAAACAGACTCCAGAAAAAAAGTTGGCACCCTTATTCTAACCTCTCAAATCTGGAGGACCTAGGTGACATCACTTGGTGGTTCCTAGATCCGGTTTTTGTCCTTAGGTTTTCAGGTTTTAGTTGGTTCAGTGGTTGGGTTTTCCGTTGTTTTGAAAGGAAAATGTTGAAAGGAAAATCAAGGAAAGCCGCGCATTTGGGGGGCGCATTTGGGGGGGCGCATTTGGGGGGTGTGCAGTTTTGGAGACACCTAGATGTGGTTTGGGTTGGCTTCCTTCGGTTGTGATGTTGGTTTGCGGTTCCCTTGGTTTTCTTTAGTTTCCTTTGGTTTCCTTTGGTTTCCTTTGGTTTCCTTTAGTTTCCTTTGGTTTCCTTTGGTAGTCCTTTGGTTTTCTGGTGTCCTTTGGTTTCCTTTGGTTTTCTTTAGTTTCCTTTGGTGTCCTTTGGTAGTCCTTTGGTTTTCTTTAGTTTCCTTTGGTGTCCTTTGGTAGTCCTTTGGTTTTCTTTGGTTTCCTTTGGTAGTCCTTTGGTTTTCTTTAGTTTCCTTTGGTGTCCTTTGGTAGTCCTTTGGTTTTCTTTAGTTTCCTTTAGTTTCCTTTGGTGTCCTTTGGTTTCCTTTGGTTTTCTTTAGTTTCCTTTGGTGTCCTTTGGTAGTCCTTTGGTTTTCTTTGGTTTCCTTTGGTTTCCTTTGGTAGTCCTTTGGTTTCCTTTGGTTTCCTTTGGTAGTCCTTTGGTTTTCTTTAGTTTCCTTTGGTTTCCTTTGGTAGTCCTTTGGTTTTCTTTAGTTTCCTTTGGTGTCCTTTGGTAGTCCTTTGGTTTTCTTTGGTTTTCTTTGGTGTCCTTTGGTAGTCCTTTGGTTTTCTTTAGTTTCCTTTGGTGTCCTTTGGTAGTCCTTTGGTTTTCTTTAGTTTCCTTTGGTGTCCTTTGGTAGTCCTTTGGTTTTCTTTGGTTTCCTTTGGTGTCCTTTGGTAGTCCTTTGGTGTTCTTTAGTTTCCTTTGGTGTCCTTTGGTAGTCCTTTGGTTTTCTTTGGTTTCCTTTGGTGTCCTTTGGTAGTCCTTTGGTTTTCTTTGGTTTCCTTTGGTGTCCTTTGGTAGTCCTTTGGTGTTCTTTGGTTTCCTTTGGTAGTCCTTTGGTTTTCTTTAGTTTCCTTTGGTGTCCTTTGGTAGTCCTTTGGTTTTCTTTAGTTTCCTTTGGTGTCCTTTGGTAGTCCTTTGGTTTTCTTTAGTTTCCTTTGGTGTCCTTTGGTAGTCCTTTGGTTTTCTTTAGTCCTTTGGTTTTCCTTTGGTGTCCTTTGGTGTCCTTTGGTAGTCCTTGGGTTTTCTTTAGTTTCCTTTGGTGTCCTTTGGTGTCCTTTGGTAGTCCTTTGGTTTTCCTTTGTGGTAGTCCTTTGGTTTTCTTTAGTTTCCTTTGGTAGTCCTTTGGTGTCCTTTGGTAGTCCTTTGGTTTTCTTTGGTTTCCTTTGGTGTCCTTTGGTAGTCCTTTGGTTTTCTTTAGTTTCCTTTGGTGTCCTTTGGTAGTCCTTTGGTTTTCTTTAGTTTCCTTTGGTGTCCTTTGGTAGTCCTTTGGTTTTCTTTAGTCCTTTTGTCCTTTGGTAGTCCTTTGGTTTTCTTTGGTTTCCTTTGGTGTCCTTTGGTAGTCCTTTGGTTTTCTTTAGTTTCCTTTGGTGTCCTTTGGTAGTCCTTTGGTTTTCTTTAGTTTCCTTTGGTGTCCTTTGGTAGTCCTTTGGTTTTCTTTAGTTTCCTTTGGTGTCCTTTGGTAGTCCTTTGGTTTTCTTTGGTTTCCTTTGGGTCCTTTGGTGTCCTTTGGTAGTCCTTTGGTTTTCTTTAGTTTCCTTTGGTGTCCTTTGGTAGTCCTTTGGTTTTCTTTAGTTTCCTTTGGTGTCCTTTGGTAGTCCTTTGGTTTTCTTTAGTTTCCTTTGGTGTCCTTTGGTAGTCCTTTGGTGTTCTTTAGTTTCCTTTGGTGTCCTTTGGTAGTCCTTTGGTTTTCTTTGGTTTCCTTTGGTAGTCCTTTGGTTTTCTTTAGTATCCTTTGGTGTCCTTTGGTAGTCCTTTGGTTTTCTTTAGTTTCCTTTGGTGTCCTTTGGTAGTCCTTTGGTTTTCTTTGGTTTCCTTTGGTGTCCTTTGGTAGTCCTTTGGTTTTCTTTAGTTTCCTTTGGTGTCCTTTGGTAGTCCTTTGGTTTTCTTTAGTTTCCTTTGGTGTCCTTTGGTAGTCCTTTGGTTTTCTTTGGTTTTCTTTGGTTTCCTTTGGTGTCCTTTGGTAGTCCTTTGGTTTTCTTTAGTTTCCTTTGGTGTCCTTTGGTAGTCCTTTGGTGTTCTTTAGTTTCCTTTGGTGTCCTTTGGTAGTCCTTTGGTTTTCTTTGGTTTCCTTTGGTAGTCCTTTGGTTTTCTTTAGTATCCTTTGGTGTCCTTTGGTAGTCCTTTGGTTTTCTTTAGTTTCCTTTGGTGTCCTTTGGTAGTCCTTTGGTTTTCTTTGGTTTCCTTTGGTGTCCTTTGGTAGTCCTTTGGTTTTCTTTAGTTTCCTTTGGTGTCCTTTGGTTTCCTTTGGTTTCCTTTAGTTTCCTTTGGTTTCCTTTGGTAGTCCTTCGGTAGTCCTTTGGTTTTCTTTAGTTTCCTTTGGTGTCCTTTGGTAGTCCTTTGGTTTTCTTTGGTTTCCTTTGGTGTCCTTTGGTAGTCCTTTGGTTTTCTTTAGTTTCCTTTGGTGTCCTTTGGTGTCCTTTGGTAGTCCTTTGGTTTTCTTCAGTTTCCTTTGGTGTCCTTTGGTAGTCCTTTGGTTTTCTTTAGTTTCCTTTGGTGACCTTTGGTAGTCCTTTGGTTTCCTTTGGTAGTCCTTTGGTTTTCTTTGGTTTCCTTTGGTTTTCTTTGGTAGTCCTTTGGTTTTCTTTGGTTTCCTTTGGTTTCCTTTGGTAGTCCTTTGGTGTTCTTTGGTTTCCTTTGGTGTCCTTTGGTAGTCCTTTGGTTTTCTTTAGTTTCCTTTGGCGTCCTTTGGTAGTCCTTTGGTTTTCTTTGGTTTCCTTTGGTGTCCTTTGGTAGTCCTTTGGTTTTCTTTGGTTTCCTTTGGTGTCCTTTGGTAGTCCTTTGGTTTTCCTTTGGTGTCTTTGGTTTTCTTTGGTTTCCTTTGGTGTCCTTTGGTAGTTTGGTTTTCTTTGGTTTCCTTTGGGGTCCTTTGGTAGTCCTTTGGTTTTCTTTGGTTTCCTTTGGTGTCCTTTGGTAGTCCTTTGGTTTTCTTTGGTTTCCTTTGGTGTCCTTTGGTAGTCCTTTTTGGTTCTTTGGTTTCCTTTGGTTTTCTTTGGTAGTCCTTTGGTTTCCTTTGGTTTTCTTTGGTTTCCTTTGGTTTCCTTTGGTTTCCCTTGGTAGTCCTTTAGTTTCCTTTGGTGTCCTTTGGTAGTCCTTTGGTTTTCTTTGGTTTCCTTTGGTGTCCTTTGGTAGTCCTTTGGTTTTCTTTAGTTTCCTTTGGTTTTCTTTGGTAGTCCTTTGGTTTTCTTTGGTTTCCTTTGGTGTCCTCCTTTGGTAGTCTTTGGTTTTCTTTGGTTTCCTTTGGTGTCCTTTGGTAGTCCTTTGGTTTTCTTTGGTTTCCTTTGGTGTCCTTTGGTAGTCTTTGGTTTTCTTTGGTTTCCTTTGGTGTCCTTTGGTAGTCCTTTGGTTTTCTTTGGTTTCCTTTGGTGTCCTTTGGTAGTCCTTTGGTTTTCCTTTGGTTTTCTTTGGTTTCCTTTGGTGTCCTTTGGTAGTCCTTTAGTTTCCTTTGGTGTCCTTTGGTAGTCCTTTGGTTTTCTTTGGTTTCCTTTGGTGTCCTTTGGTAGTCCTTTGGTTTTCTTTGGTTTCCTTTGGTTTTCTTTGGTAGTCCTTTGGTTTTCTTTGGTTTCCTTTGGTGTCCTTTGGTAGTCCTTTGGTGTTCTTGGGTTTCCTTTGGTGTCCTTTGGTAGTCCTTTGGTGTTCTTTGGTTTCCTTTGGTGTCCTTTGGTAGTCCTTTGGTTTTTTTTGGTTTCCTTTGGTGTCCTTTGGTAGTCCTTTGGTTTTCTTTGGTTTCCTTTGGTTTCCTTTGGTGTCCTTTGGTAGTCCTTTGGTTTTCTGTAGTTTCCTTTGGTTTTCTTTGGTAGTCCTTTGGTTTTCTTTGGTTTTCTTTGGTTTTCTTTGGTTTCCTTTGGTTTTCTTTGGTTTCCTTTGGTTTCCTTTGGTTTTCTTTGGTTTCCTTTGGTTTCCTTTGGTTTCCTTTGGTTTCCTTTGGTTTCCTTTGGTTTCCTTTGGTTTCCCTTGGTTTCCCTTGGTAGTCCTTTAGCTTCCTTTGGTTTTCTTTGGTTTCCTTTGGTTTCCTTTAGTTTCCTTTAGTTTCCTTTGGTTTCCTCTGGTTTCCCTTGGTTGCCCTTGGTAGTCCTTTAGCTTTCTTTGGTTTTCTTTGGTGTCCGTTGGTGGCCTTTGCCATAGTCATAGACAAAAAAGGCACAAGTGTCTGAAGAAAACTGGCCACGCAGCCGAACATCCAAGGACTTCCGGTAGAAATGCCTTTTGAATCGATTTCCTTCTGGTAGGAGTGTCTCGCACTTGGCGACCCCCCAAAACGTCGCCCAGCTGTTTAACCGGACCTCCACGGTGAACTGAGGGTGATCTTCGTCGTGGTCTCCACTCAAAACCCACAAAAAGGGCGGCCCATCGAAACAAGACGAGCGGGCTCGGATGGGAAGACAAAAAAGGGGGGGCCCTCAAGAGGCTTGGACTTGGATCCCCGTGGGGTAACCAATTCCAATTCTTCATGGGGCCGAAATCAAAAACTGCACCAACATATGTGGCGTTCGCTCAGAACAGAATGTGTGAGGGAGCCCCATACCAGAGTCATGGACACCAGGAGTTTCTGAAGGAACTTGACCAAATACCCCCAGAAAAGCCCTGCAAATTCTTCGGAACCTTGTCTGCAAGAAACGCTTTTGGAAACGAGATGAAGCTCGGCAAGTTCTTCGGAACCTTGTCCGCGGAAGCTACAAACATAGCCAGACTGTAAACAACCGGCGGGATTGATTGCCTGCCAGTTTCGCCAGAAAAGAGTCCGTGGACGCGGGGCCGATCGCTGGAACTTTGAGACTTAGGACCATGACTCGGGAGCAGTTCGTGGACGCCTGCATGCTGGCGGGCACCGAGTACTGCTTGACCTTTCCATATCTTCAAGTGGACCAGGCCCGCCGAACCCAGCACAAGTCGAATTTGACTGCCATTTGCCTAAGAATATGATTGTTATTTCCCCCTTGCTACTGGAAGAAGAAAAAAAGAAGGGGGGGCTTAAGCAAGTGGAAGTTGATGCCCTTGATCCGCGGGCTTGCGCGCTTCGAGGCATGCGCGGGCTTTAGGGGAGCGAACGGGACCCTCTGCCTGACGGTTCCTTGGGGGGAGGGAGGGGAGGGGGTTCCTTTGGAAATGGACCAAAACAAGGTGCATCATGTTTTCGACCAGGGCACCTTGCTTGTTTGGGTACAGAAATAGCTCATGCTTAACTTAAAAGGCCGGCGCCTGGCTTTCAGTTCCTCAGTTCCAATTTACAATATGGGTGGACCCCCAACCAGAATTGGGGACCCCAAAGCTTCACCAATTTGAAAAACCCGACAAGAACACCATTGAGCTCCCAACGAGTTGTTGACCTCCACGGGGGGGGGGGGGGGGAAAAAAAACGGGACCTGCCAGCCTTCCCTGTCCCCATTTCGTTCCCGTGCGCCGTCTGGTCCTTTTACCACCGTTACTAGGTAACCAGCTAGTGTCCCATCGGTTTTTAATGGGTGGTTCCCTGAGGTAAATGGATCCACTGGGTTAGGGTAGACTAAATATAGAAGCTCAATTGCTCCTCGGCTCCTAAGCTTGTGCAGAATGACGTGCGGTTGGTCAGACCCAAAGTCAACGCGTTTCTGGAGAGGTAAGAGAGGAATTCGGCAAGCAAATTCTCCTTGGACGTGGACATGGTTGACCAGTGTCCCAAGGGTACTTGTGACATGTGGGCCACTTAAGCATCCGCTTTTACCAGCAGCTGATTGAGAGGAGCCCCCTTCCAAAGCAGGGTTTTGTCATGTATCCTTCCCAGACGCAGGCTCCGACCCCTCTTAGGGACACCCCAGGGCCCTCACCCAGGAAATAGTCGCAAGACTCTTTTAGGGCTTAACCAGCTGGTTGACCTGGGATTCTGTTGGCTTTCTTCATAGGATTGCGAAGAATGAAAAAGATAGCCCTCGATTGAGGGGGGGCTCATCGGGATTCTGTGCAAGGAAGGGTCTTAGTTAATGTTGACCCAGGATTAATAAACCCGTCTCAGTATTAGGGGGGTGTTCCCTCCAACAGTGGTCTGAATCCAACCACTAAAAGGAATTGGACACCCCCCGATCAAAATCAACCAGGGGTTCTACTTAGATCCGGGGTTAACATTACCCCAAAGAAAGACCTTGAGACTAAAAGGCCCCCCAGAGGCGAGCCTTCCAAGCCAAGGCTTTTCTCTCGCCTCCCCAAGGGATCCAACAAAACCTTCTCTGACCAAGGGGCAAAAACCCGACTCGAAGAAATGGGCCGTTTTTTGAACAGGAGGATGGGCGAGAATGGGAAATCAACTCTACACCTAAAACCCAGGCGTGCTCAAGCTGAACAAGTTTGGTTAAGTATTCCCATGGAAAGTTGAAAACCCTGTTTCGACGGCCATATGTGTCAAACGTTGCAATCTTTGGGGCTTCCCAAAAGGCGGAAATGTGCCGGACTTCTATTTTCGGCGATGGGGGGGAGGGGCGGGCGCGGGCCTTTTGAGGGGGTAGATTCGAAAGCTGCGGCATCCCAATGCTTCCGGCAAGTGTTTCTTTTTCGCCGATCCGCGACGCAGGTCTCGCGCTTCAACTTTGATGTCGCGACCCAGCTGAGTTGGGAAGTCGGAGTTTGTCTCATGGGACAATTTTGGGCGATGGTGGCTTTAAGGGGAAAGCACAAGGAAAGCTGCGTTGAATTCTCTTATTTTGCGACACATCCCGAAAGCCAACCCCAAAAAGGGTACCCTGAAACAGACTCCCAGATGAGGTTCGATCAAACTATCGTGCATTTGGTGACTGGGGGATGTCACAAAAGACACTGCGGGGACGCACCGAAATGGGGCGAGTAGCTTCTTGTGGAGGCACCCGTTTTTGGGTTGGTTTAAAAGCTTTAAAAGGGAAACCAAAAGAAACACCGAAATCAATGTTGGTGTTTTTTGTTTGTTCCCTTTGGCATAGACCCAAATATCCCTGCCCTGTGCGCAAGAACTGTTGGCAGCTCAAAGTCTGGCCAAAGTCAAAATGTGCCCAGTTGCATTGGTACCAAATGGAACCACCCTTCAAAAAACCACAAGGCTCTGTCTTTTCTAGGGGCCCCGAAACGGTCCTCTTGGTTTCCACGTATAACCGCAAAAAGGGGTACCAACTCCAAAAACAGACACCCCAAAACAAACAAAGTTCGGTTACCTCTAGTGGCGAACGCTTGGGATCCATCGGGGGTGCTGGATTCTCCAAGTGGGTGTGTCTTGTGTTTTGCTTGCCCCACAATTTGTGTGTTTTCCCTTCTGGGAGCCCGTTAAACCAACCAAAACAGGGGCACCCTCAAAAAGGGGTCACCCGACGTCCCCTTGAAAGGTTGATTAATTTGCTGGCAGTGTCCAGTCAAACGATCGAATTCCACTTTGGGAGGTTCCAACAAAGGGAAACGGAGGAAACCCCGTCATAAAAGAGACGCACCCAAGTAGTCAGCAAGTGGTTCAAGCTTTGGGCGATGCTTCCCAGCTATACAGTTCAGCGTGGGAGCGTCTTTTTAATATGGTGGGGGCTCGCCTTATCTAGCTGATGGTAGGAAGCCAAGGAGCTGGGGGTATTCATGTTGGTTTTATAGAGGGAGGGAGCTAAGGAGCTAGCAGGAGTCCGGCAAGCAGATGGTGGTGTTGTTTTTGTTGTCTTAATTAAAAGGGAAGCCAAAAGGATACCGATGCCATGTGTCGGGTTCTATCCTGAGCCAAACCCATGTGAGCTTGCTCAAAACCAATTCGGGTAGCTGAAGGTTAGGGACTCCCCCCGTCAATGGCTGCGAACATGCGCCTTAATGCTTGAAGCATGGTTCAATACCGGGTTTTGACTATGACTCACGTAGCGATCCTGGGCCGCGGGCGCCTGTTCCTTGTTGGGAAAGTACTAAGCGAAAAAACTTGCTTCGATAGGCCCGCTAAGAATTGGAGTGAACCCGAAAACCGCCATCCCCAATTTGCATGTCCTCTATTTGGGAATCCCCAAACCTTTCATTCGCAGCACCGGGTCTCGGTGATTCGCTAGCGGTGCAATTCCTTCTTTCCCATGGCTGGGCGATAAGGTTTGGAGAAGCACCCCCTGGGACACCAAAAGGGACACGCTGTGCACGACGTTCTTTCGGCGTTTTTTGGCGCCATCCAAGCGGCCCAAATCTGAGTTGCGATTTTGCTCTGACTGACCATATATAGTCTTAAGCGTTGCTTCTCCATTCTTGCCAGGGATCCTTCTTTCTAGCAAACCACCAAAAACCCTGGGAAAACAGCTGGTGTTTGAAAAGAACGATGGTTTAAAAGAAAGGGGATAGCTTCCAACTTAGAAATATAGGTTGCTATTTTTAGTATTTTACTGCACTGGCACAGTGGAAATCGAATCATTCCAGGATTTCTTAGGTGGTGTGAAATGGATTTTGTCCATCCACAGTAGGTGAAAGTCAAGTTCGGGGTTTTGAGGAGGGAGTTCAAGTGTTCAGGCGGTGAACGTGGCCAAGCAAGCCCCGTGACGTGGCCGGAGCCGGGTGGAACTCATGCGTCCATAGGTTCCGTGGAGATATGCAGAGGTCTTGTCTTCTGGTCGTTTGGATCTTTAACCCACAACTGTTGCGCACACACACACACACACGCGCACACACACACACACACTCATGTGGGGGGTGTCTTTTTAGGAATCGTTGGTTTCCCTTTACGCGACGAAGGAAAGGGGTACCGAGGCTCAAAAAAGGGCTCACCCATGTGTGTCTGAAGGCCACTCGTTTTGCACGACACTCGTCACAGAACAATAGTGAGGATTCGCTCAGTGAGTCACTTCTGGGGTTGGTTTCTCGGGGAAACCAAAGGGACCACCGCTTTTTTCTTGGTGAGGGGGGGGGGGGGGGGGCAGGCTATTTTAAGACGCCATACTAGTTGTATGGGTCAAAAAACACACAAGCGGACCACAAGGTTTAATCCATGCTTGCACAGGGTTTCAATTTGGGTACCCATGTTTGACCCACGCCCCAATGTATTTGAACTCACTGTTGGTTGTTACACATTGCCCGGATCGCTGCCCTTTTGACTTGCCCTTGGAGATCTTTCATTGTCCCTTACCAGCAAAAAGCTAAGTCTAGGTTTGGCCAGAATCTGTCCCATGGAAACTTAGAGTATATGTTGCAACCAATAGCTAAACAAGACCCCAACCAGCACACGGGTCCAAACTACTGCGTTGTTGGACAGTATCAAGGGGAGTTTGGACATGTGAAAAAGCAGTTCTTGGGGTGGGTGTGCTGGAAAAGAACATGGCAAAATATGTCCTCCCAATTCCTGAGTTCTTGGACTTTAGTCTGTCACCTTCTAGGTTTCGACCATAGTGGTCCAAACATTTTTTTTACAAAACATGGCTGTGGGTCAAAAATATGGTAACCCCAAAATGGCTTGCCCTGGTAAATGGAAACATGGACTAAAACCTGCGGTCCAATTCCAGGTGGTTTAACTTTGACCCACACCCAAGTGAGGAAAAACAACATGCGGTGACCTCCACTCAGTGAGAAGTGTCCATTCCCAAAAAGGGGAGAGGTTCGGAATTGCAAAAGGCCCGGAGCCTAGGCTTCTCTCCTGGCTACAGACCTTCCCCACGGAGGAGATGAAGGCTCGAGATCCCGCGCTCTCGATCCGCGCTCTCGGCGGAAGCCGCAAGCGCCTTTCGCCCATTCGCTTAAGAACATGTTTTTTCTTTTTCTGTGTTTAAAAACAAACTGCTGGTTTTAAAGGGAATCTATCCCTACTGGAATTATTATTATTGGTGGTTTTTTTTCAGGGGGCGAAATACTGGTTTATACTGGTTTTCATCAACTTGGAGACCGCATGAATTCCATTAAGAACATCTTGTTTATTTTCCCCCGCTGGTTTCCAAGGGAATCGATTTCACTACTGGAATTATTATTATTTTTCCTTTTTTTCTGGGGGCGAAAAAGCAAATGAAAGTTTGGGGTGGTTTTTGGTCAGGGTTGTGGTTGATCCCTCGCGGTTTATCCAACCACTTCTGCGACACCTTCGGGAATCTTCTCCTTTATATAAGGGCAAAAAGCTTTGGGGAAGCCCTTTTGTTGTGTCACAGAAGTGGTCATTTCCCACAGGTCTGGTTTTGGTTGTTTTTAGTTGGTTTTTGGGGGGGTTCCATTTAGCCCACTAAATGTTATTCACTTCTGGCCGGGAGCAGTTTGGACAGCCCAGTCTTGCAATTGTTAGCTTCCATTGTCTGAAATGAATATTGTTTGTTGTCCCCGGTTGGTTCCAAGGGAAATGTTCACTACTGGATATTTTGACTAGCTCGCCCAGATCCATTTCCCTGTCTAGTCGGTAACCAAGAGTGCTAGGGCTGCGATCCACTGGGGTGGGGAGCGCTGACAGAGTCGCCTTGGGTTTTGAAACCGGCTCCTGTTGATGGGTCAGAGTTCGCTTCAGGCAAAGCTTTGAAAGGCACCCAGGCCCAAGGCGAATCGACCGGATCTCAACTTTTGGCTTCCCCCTTTCTCCATTTGAGTCATGGCCCAAAGAGGCGAACCTGGCATGTCTGGATCCGTTGGGCAACTGAGGTGATGCCAAGGAATCTGCTTTATTAAATATGTTTGACAGAAAGTGCTATTTATCAAAACCCGGTATGGCCTGACTTTCCATGCGTGCTGAGAAGAATGTGCTGAGATTTGATTTGGTCAAAAAGCCGCCTTCAGCCAGAGCGTTCGTGAGTCTTGTCTTTCCCTCTTTGAATAAGCGAAACAACATGTGGGCGATGTGGTTGAGTTTTGGGCACTGAGGAGCACTGAGGAGCTGTTCTAATTTTTTTCCGACGTTTGGTTTACATCAATTCCTGGTTCCCCTTAATCAAGGGCTTGCTCCGCATTAAAGGATCACAACACAGACAATTGGTGTGGTGTCCTTTCGTTCGCCCCAAGTCTACATGTTCAGCTTTGGCTTCCAAGAGATCTGCGCGCAAGTGGTTGCAAGGACCAGCCAAGTGGTAGCCATGGCACCATGTTTTGATGGGTTGTCTGAGGTTTGGACATTTTACATCACATGATATTTACATACAATACATGTCATTACGTTACATTATATCACATTACATTACATCACATTACATTACATCACATTACATCATACTACATTACATTACCTGTATGTGATGTGTACCCTCCACACCTCACCTGAACATGCCTTTGCCTCCGGATCCATCCCACGAAGCCTCAATGGGTAATGCTCCCGACAGGTTCGGCTTGGAGTGGCTGGGACACCAAAGTCCAACCAAACTCATGGCACTAGCGCATCCTCCATTCCAATATTTGCCGCACCCCCGTTTTCTCGTGTCAAGCAGTGGCACCCCACTCCTTCCCCAGAATTGTTCCTTTTTTATGTTTTTTTGCTTTTTTGAGGTTCCCTTTGTTTTCCAGGCAAACATATTTTTTGCTGGGGTCCTAATTCCAGCCAAGACTCATGGTTTGAGGTTTCCAGTGTACCCCGCTAGCACTCGTGGCAGGTGGACCATATGGAGGGCTACTGCGTGTGTGGCATGGCAAACACCGGGAGAGCAGAGCAATCTCAAGTGGCATTGAAGGAACTAATGTTGCACCCGGTTTAATATCGGTACCCTGAATTGTGACAAGCTTCCTCGGCTTGAATCCGATCCCCCCCTCCCTCCCACTGTTTGGGAGTCATCTTGCATGTCGAAACAAAACCCAAAGAATCCCGTTCCAAACAATGTGGGCATTATGAGGGAGTTGTTTAGCAATCCCAGGTCAGATCTTAGCCTGTTGCTCTTAAATGGGGCGTCAAACCAAAAAGCTTGGCAAGAAAGCAAGCCAAGACCTGCGTCTGAGAATTCCTGCAGGAAGTTCTGGCAATACTACGAAGCTAAGTACTAAACCAAGTACTGTCAGTACTAAACTAAGCTGGCAATCCAACAGGAAGGCTGGCGATACTCATTTAAGCAGTGGCAAAACCCAAGCAATACTTGGGTCATCCAAGCTCTATGCCAGACCTTTATGCAGGACTTCGAGCACTGTTTTGGCTGTTCTCCGGCGGGGAGGGGGGCATTAAACAAGGTCCCGCGTTAAACACAACTGGCTCTGAGATTTCGACCACTGGTTTATACTGGTTTTCATCAACCTGGTAACCCCATGAATTCCATTTGCTGAAATGAACATGTTTGATTTTCCCTTGTTGGTTTTGAAAGGGAATCGATTTCACTACTGGAAATATGTTCTCACTTTTGCCAGGCACCTTAAGCAAATGAAAGAAAAGTAGATGTGGATGGTTAGGGGGATGGATTCCCTCAAAACTGAAGGAAGCTGTCTCAAATGGAACCCTCCCGGGGTTCGTCCGGGGTCCACATCGTGACTGGGCACAAATATGCATGAACTGTTGGTCCAAGGGATCAGAAGCTGATCCATTCACAAGTTGTTCATAAGTTGAGTAAATTAAGGTTTGAGCTTAGCTTGTCTAAAGCCACAGGTTCAAGCTTTCTAACTTAGATGTCGGGTCTCTGGGACGAAGCAATAGGTAGGCAAGTGTCATTTATCGGGCTAGCTAGCTATCGCGATTCGGGTGACCTCGTTGTTCAATTTGTGTACTACCAGAATCCTGCCTGTTTTGTTTTTTCATCCCCACTGGCTGGAACCGGCAGTCGAGTCAGAGAACAGACCTTAGCAAATTCTCACATACACATACGCACACACACATGTAAGCTATTGGTCCCTCCTCTTCAGTGGTATTGAGGTTCTGACCAACCGCTACTGGCGGTTGGTGTTCAAAGGGCCGAACACCGAGCAGTCGGAGGGACACAACAGGTCACCCCAACCCCGCACCCCCACAACGGTTAGAGGATTGGCTAGGGGGCATGTTAGCTGCTCTTGGGGGTGTTCCTTGAACCTACCTCACTTTGGTAAACCAGTGTCGCCATGAGACTTGAGATCAAGTCATGTAGCTCCAAACCCCCGGGCTCCAAACCACCAGGTTCCATGCGTCGGTGGCACGGATCGACCGAGCCTGTGATTGTTCTACATTTGAACCGGGCCCCAGGGATATATTGGCGGCCAATTAGAAAATCGCCCCACCAGCCTATTCAATTCGAGCATATACTCTTGTAGAGCAGGTGGTTGGATGATCTTCGAGGGAACCATGTCAACGTCCATTGGATGCTACATGTTGGTCCCAACGTCAATGCTTCGGCCCGATCCGATCAATTACTCCCGGCTCCCGACTTGGCCTGGAGAAGAACGTGAGTTGACTGGAGTGTGCTCGGGAAAGCTCCTTTGGATTGATCGTTTTTGCTAAGGGCGCCCACAACTTGCCCCAGTGAAATCAGAGGTGGAAAGGCACGTTTCAAGAGGGGAGAGGGGAGAGACTCCAGACGGTGACCCTGAAAAACCTTGAAAGAAATCAGAAGCCCAGGATTGGGCCCAGGAAAGGCGCGGTTTCGAGGGTCGACCTTTTCTTCACCTGACTCTATGAACCCATACAGCCCCTTGTTCATTCCATGTGTGGTTCCCCATCTTTGGGCCAACAGTAGTGGTTGATAAACCAAATAGAGGTCGGTACTTTGGGCAGAAATCGAAATGCGCAATGTCGAATGCTTCCACTTCGATCACCCTTTTCACCTTTACAGGGAAGCCCGAAGGAAAGCAAACACCCGGAACGGCTCGAATTTCCCCCACGCGCCATATGAGACCCCCCCGTTTGGTTTATATCAAGGGACACCAAGACCGCCGACCATTTTGAGGGTCCGATTTTTTTTCCATAGGGGTGCATTCCCCACTCTCTTCACCCATCGCTCTCTTTGGGCACCCCTTTTTTTGCGAGGAACTTGGGCAAGCGCTTGGAGGGAGATTGTTATGGGGATGGTGGATTTTCCCTTGCCCTTGGAGCAACCCTAAATGAGTCACAATCAAAGCCCGGGTAGATGAAGGTTAGTAAGGGGCGATCCCAACCATAAATAGGTGCAGCCGCCTTCTTAATCCTTTACATGGTTCTGGGCTCACCATTTGTGTACCGGGTTTTGATCGCGACTCAAATGGGAGTCCCGCAAGAAAGAGAGACCCGTATAACGGGCATGAATTTCAACAAGGAGTCATCTCAAAATTTGTAGGTGGACATGAACCCTCACCTAAATAACATCCACCCAAACTTCCCCCAATAACATTCACACCCATATGGGTGTGTCGTTTTCTTTTTTTACGGTACCCCCAAAATGCTGGTCGTTCCTTTTAGTTTCTTTCAAAACCAACGCTTTCAAAGGGTAACCCCAGAAGACGGGCCCAATTTGTTAGGTTTGGTAAATACATAGTAAATATACAGGGCTCCTTACAAGATACATTTTGGTCATTTGAAGCGTGGTGTTTCCCACCAAAATAAAGGGAAACCACCATTTACAAGGCAATGTTCAGGTGTATAAGGTAAGGATCCCTGATATAGATGTATATATATAGACAGGCCCATGTTGTTTGGTTTGGTTATATATATATATATATATATGTTAGATTGTATAATCAATATAACGGGTATGGTAATATATTTGAGGAGCCCACCCATTGTATTTGTATTTTATTTGTTTTCTCAGGTGTGGAACGATACATTAATCGGATCATGTGGGTCAAAAGCTTCCGAGGCAAGCTCCTGATCCAGAGCTCCCCGGTCTTCCACGTGGGGGAGAACTCCGTGCGGGGCCACAGCCAGCGGAGCGACCTGAGTCCCGAAGCGTTGGCGTGTTGGAGGGATCGGAAGCCGAAAGACCAGCTGTTGCCGTCGGTTTTTTTTTGGGCTTGTTGGGGGTTGGGGGTTGGGTCGTGAGCTAGGAATGAAACCTGGTAAATGGGAAACGACCTTTATCAAGTGCAGGATTTCGTCCATCCCGAGTACAACTCACTCCGTGAGTTCGCGGGCTTTATATACTTGTTGGGCTTGGACCATGTTGGTAAACAACAAAACCAGTTTGGACTTCTTCTTGTCCCATCCATTCAGGAAGGGAGTATGTTTCAGCAGCCAAATGAGTGTGTGTGTGTGTGTATGTGTATTTTTAAGGGGACCCCCCCAAATCGTGGGGTTCTCTTTGCCAACCCAACAAGGGTTCCCCCCCCCCAAACAAGAACACAGCTGAATGGACCGAAGCGAAGAAAGCCCACGATCACTGCCTTTTCGAGGCGCTTTTCTCTCTGAAGCCGCCCGTGTGGGGCCAACGGGTCCCAGATTGGAAGATGTGAATTACATGGGAACTTCCCGCGAAAAGCCGCAGGGCTCGTTTGATTTGGGCTCGTCCGAAGTTGGTGTTGGGCCCCAGGGTTTTAGACAGTAAACAGATCGGTTCCTAGGAGGCATCTTGATGACTCAACTGGGCGGGGCTCCCAGCCATCGGGTTCCCTTTTTCTACGGTTCTTTAGTCACTAGAAATACGGACAGCCCAGTGAAAATTATCCCTGAGTTGGTGGTTTGCGTTGGTTTGGACTTGGGTTTGAAGCCCTGGCTCTTGTTGGGAAGCCACCAGCTCCACAGACCGGGGGCCTCGGGATCTGAGGTGCGGCCCTCCACGGGCCATTCGTTTCAAGTGCCCAACGACTATCCCTCCGTCTTGGGGGATCCTTTGCCCAGCAGCCTGCCGGGGGCCCCGGAACGCTCCCGTCGGAGCCGAGTCGGTCGGAGTTCTCGGAGTTCTCGGAGTTCTCGGAGGAGAGTCGGATCGATTGGAACTCTGGGGCTTGGAGATCGAGTGCGGAGGGATCGCGGATCGATTGGAACTGGCGGCAAAACGGCGGCAAAACCCTCCTTTTGGTGGTAGATTCCAAGGCAAAACGGCGGCAAGACGCGGAAAACGGTTCTTGAGAAATTCCAAGGCAGGGGGAATCCTGGAATCTCCACACATTTCTTCCGTGAATGTGGGGTTCACCTGGTTGGTAGGTTGGTAGGGGGTGCAAAACCTAAAATCGCGATCCCCGCTTACTTGGGGCTAGGTCCCCCAGTAGTGCAAATTGTTACCCCCTTTTTTGGGGGGGAGGGTTCCCCTACTCAAATAGACTGCAGAAAGATGGGTACCCTTATTCTAGCCTCTCTGGAGGACCTCGTGGCGAATCGAACATCCAACTGTCCCAAGACCTTACTTGAGGTCTTCGGGGGTCAAAGACTGTAGCTTTGGAGAGGGCAATGAAGCTGACAGGGGTTCCGGAAGACTTTCCTTAGCCCCGTGTCCACTTCCATGGTTAGCAAACTTCGGATTAATCCGGAGGAGCTAAGTTAGATTGATCTGCTAGGGGCAGTTCTCCTTGAGTAAGGTCCTCCGGAACAATTTCCGAAGTTAACACTATTTCCTGGCACCAAAGGGTTCTAGTAGACAAGGTCTAGCTTGCAACAAAGGACAATCATAGAATCGAAAGGAAACATCGAAGTTCACCCCACTGTATTTCTTTCCAGCACAAAGTCAGTTTCGTGCGCCCGTTGAGGAATCTGCTTCTGGGGGGCTGCTTCCAATTTGGGGAAGTCAAAGAAGAGCTAGAAGGAAGCCACTCGCTTTCCAATCAGGGTACCCTATTTGGGGTTGGTTTAACAGAACATGGAAAAGCGCAGCACGCATTCCCCGTAGTTGGGGCTCGAAAAGTCCGGTTCAATGGAGAGTACCCGTTTTGGGATCGGTTTGAAGTTTCACCTGAAAGAAAACCACTCACTTTTCGACCGGTGCACAGGGCTATGAAGGCCCGTTTCGTATCGGTTTGAAAGAATGCCACTCAGTGTTTCCGGCTTTCTGAAGCCCTGCACTTTGTTCCCCAGGGCCTTTTTGGGAAGCCATCGCCTCAGTCCAATCCTTTTCAGCATGCCATGGCGGCTGATCTTTGGAGTTGCGACCCTTGTGTTTATGACGTAGGAAACCAAACGGAGAACCGTTGGCGCCACATGGGGGGGCGTCCAAATCCTAGCAAGACAAGCCCAAGAAAGGTTTGGTCAAACTTCCGTGCCGTCGTCTTTTCATGGGTCTGTTGATGCGACTAGCTGGGATGAATGAAACCTGGTACACAATGGGAAACGAATTCATCTATCAACTGGTGCAGGCAGGGTTCCGTTTTTTGACTACTTCAAGGTAGACTTAAACCCAGGCGGTTCCCTTTTGGTGAAGTCGAGCACCCCTGGGTTTAAGTCCACTTTGGGGTTGTCAAAAAGTGGAACTCTGGGTGCAGGGTTTCGTCCATCCGATCGAAAGTGAGGCAAGTCTTAGGGGAAGGTGACCTCCTAAACGGTAGTCGCACTCCCCACTTGGTTCCCAGCCAGTAGGAGGTTTTGAGGTTGGGGGTCTGCGTCTCTACTGAATTGGGTTGGATCTTTAGACGTCATCTTTTTGGACACTCCTCTTATTTCCTTTCAACCTGCAAAAAGTTGAACTTTTTGCTGGAGGATCTACAGCACCCAAGATTTAACACCCCAGGTGGGTGGACATTCTGACAAGCTGAACCCAGACCTCCGGTGGCGCGGTTTTGTTTGAGCATAGACCCCAGATCCCAAAAGAGCACCCCAAATTGCACCAGCGCCCTGCACGAAAAATTGGAGGACCCTTTCTTCCGCATCGCTGGAGGCTTGGGTGAAAGTGAGCCACTGCTCGTTCTCAGGTACTTCCTCATTGTGAGCGGCGTGCTTTCAGCGAAGTTGCCGCAGGCGCGCCTTCAAAAAAACGCACACGCAGGCCAATCGGACGGCAGGTGGTAGCATCTAGATGATCAAATCACAAGACCATAGGGTTGTCTGAGGATCCATGTATCTGAATTGGTCACCAAAGGGTGCCACCCCTAAACCAAAGGAAAATGGCGAAGTGTTACCTTCACTGTTGGTGGCCAGATTTTAGGTGTTTTGACTGTGTTGGTTCTGTGCACTTTTAGGTGGGGGCTGCAAAACACACTGCTTGTTGCTACCATACCCAGGGTTCCTTCGCCAGAGTTCCGCCCCTCTCAAGTCCCAACTTGGATACATGGGGCGCTGTCAATTTGCTGGGCGCCTTTGCTCACTTCAGTCAGTTCCCGGACTTTAACTTTTTGGTTTGGACCATTTGGTTAATCAAATCCCGGATCCAATCTAAACCACCATACCCCCACAAGGAACGTTCATTTCGCCCCAAATCCAAATCGCCCCACACCCAATTCCCCACTCCCAGCCCACCCACCCAAAACCGTTTTCTTCGAAGGCGATAGGTTTCACTGCTCACCCAAAACCACCCAAACCCCCCCTAGGTCCCCCAGTAGTGACCTTTTACCGTTTCTTTTTTGGTTGGGAGTACCCCAACCTCCAACCTCTCTACTGGAGGACCTAGCCCCAACACCGCGTGAATTCCAGGCGTTGGCCAAGGGCGAGTGGCTCGACAAGTCCCAGCCCTTGGTGGACACCGTGGCACCTCGCCTCGAGTCGCATCACCGGCGGGTCGGCCGGTGCCCGAGGCCCAGTTTCACTCCTCCCAGAGGCACCTGGCTTCAGTGAAAGACCCGACCCCTCAGGTGGTTGGGACCCAGTCTCAAAACCAGGTTCTTTGAAGGCCCTAAATCAATCGAATTGGAGCCTCTGGGTCCGGAAGAAGTCGGGTGAAACCTTTTGGGTTTCCTGCCAAACTCAAGGCCCAAAGCAAAGCGACCACGTGAAGAACCTTTAGCTTCCGAGTGGTCCCTGTTTGGTCATGGGCCCCCCAAAACCTTTTAGCTTCTCCTTCCCATTTTTGAGTCGGCCCCCAAAATGTGATCACCTTGTACGCCTGGGAGGGCAGAGGAAATGATGTTTGACTATTGTCGACACCTGAAGCTGGCGACGTACCTCCCAGTCAAGTGGAAAATGCTCTTGAGATACTTGAGTGCTTCTTTGGGTTGGGGTGGATTGCTTGGGTCACGGATTTGAGCCCTCAACGTTCAAGCCCAAGCCCAAGCCACTCAAGCACACATCATTCGATCAGGGTGACTTTTCCACAATGCTGGGAGCCGAGCCGCTGCTTTTGGCATCTCTAGTGTCTTTCTCCCTTTGAACCCTGCACTTGCTATTCACATTTTGTCTAGGTCGTGCAATCAAAAGGAGGAGTCTTTACACGCCACAAAAGGGGAAGAGTGTCCGAATGCAAATGAACACCACCTCTTTTCTAAATGTTGCTCGCACGAACTGACCAAGCTGGGGCAACATGTGGGTGTGTGATATTTTTTCAGTGTACGCATCTTCTCACACCCTGAGGTCTGGATTCCTGGACTTGAGTCACATTTGTGCGCTCAAAAAAAATGTTTGGCGGTTTTTGTTTAGCGTATCCACTCGATCGGTGAGTTTGGGGTGGGTTTAAGTTTTAGGGGCATCCCCACTCAAAGGGGACCCCCCTATGAATCAGCCAGAGGTTTGCAATCCGGGGTTGCCATTACCCATTTGTGTGGCTTAAAATTTCGGAGCCAACCGCAGGTGTTTTAGTCTTTGGTTCCATGTACCAAGCTGCCATGTTGGTACATTTGTGCTTCAGCCACAGACATCTCGGGGTCGATTGAACATCATCCCGAAAGTTGAGCCAAGGAGTACCGGCAACTGCTCTCAGCCGCTTGGCGAGCGCGGGGTTTTGTCGGTAGCAACATTTGCTGTCGAATTGGATGGCTCGTCTTTTTAGCCTTACCTGTTTTGGATGGTCTTATAAGGGGAAACTAAAAGGAAAGCGAAGCTTGAGACAACCCCACGTGGACTCGGACTGGTTTGGGTTTTCGTTTGCGAAGGGTGCCCTGTTGTGGTGTGAAAGGGACCTCAAGTCCACGCCCCACTTAACCCACAAAATGACACCTAGAAGCCAGGTGTTTTTTCCCAGCAGCAGCCTAGCCCAAAACTGGGTCTTCGCAAGCTTTGGGCAAAATGGGTGTCTCTTTAGGAATTGGGCCCCCCGAAACGGCAAGGGCTTCCTTCTGGCTCCCCTTCAAAACCAAACAAAGGGGTGAAACAGAATCAGAACATGTCGATCTTTCTGTGAACCCCTTTTTGTGGGCCAGTGGACGAAGACTTGGATCAACCACTAAAGCGGACCACGCCAAATTGTGATGTATGGGGGGGCGGGAGGGGGGGCTGGGGCCAGGCGAATGGGTCCTAGTTCAAGTCCGCGATACAGCCCTTTGCTGTTTGTTCTGATTAAGCTTAGGGAGGTTGGCATAGATACTCCCCTGCAGAATGACATGGAACCCTAAACATCGTCCGTTTTAGGGGAGTTTAACCGGGAAACTGCTCTTGTGCCATGTCAATTGGTCGCGGTTTGCTTTAGGACTTCTTTCCCGGTTCATGGACTTGCCATGGCAAAAAAAGTCTGCGTTTAGCAATCTCAACCAACAACTCAACGTGAAGGCACGATATGTGGCATCGATCTTTTTACAATCAACCCAAACATGAGGAAGTGAGTCAACCACCTGCTCTTTGGGCTGGAGGCCACACAGATCACCGAGCCCCCGACATGTTGGTGTTGCTTTGGGGTTCCGTTGGGTGCCCACTGCACCCCCAACGGAATTTTTCGAGCCCTCCTTTTGAACCCTTCGTTTAAAGATCTGGAACAAACAAAAATCCTCGAAGGACGAACGTTTGGAAAATGTACCACCACCAAAACCTACCAACCAACGGTTGGAAAAAACGGGCTGGTTTCCAGAACGGTTTCCCTTCACCGCCACAAAGCCTTTGGGTACCAACTCAAGAAAGACACCAAAACAAGACAAGAACCGCCTTCTTAATTCTTGAAACATGGGTCTGGGGATCGACCATCTTGTTTTTTGTTTTTTTCCCGGGTTTGGAGTATGCCTCATTTTGGGTCCCCGCCACAAAACCGGGGAGTACCAAACCGGCCGCAAATCCCCGACCCGCGCGTGACACGCGCGCTGCCGGCTGCCGGCTCGAGGACCTCACGGACTACCGGCAGCGCGCCCTGGGCCTTGTGGCGCGGCATTTGCCGCTCTACTTCCGCAGCAAGCGCCCCTCGGCGTCGGGCGGTGCGCGGCCGGCGGCGTAGGCGCTGCCTGGGGGCGGTGGCAAAGGTGGCGGCGTTACGGCGGTTTGGCGGTTAGGCGTTTTGGCGTTTTTATGCGATGGAGCTGGTGGAGCTGTTCCATGTTTTGTGCTGAAGAATGAATATGTGTTTTTCTTTTTCTGCTCATGAGTTGGGTAGCCAAGCTTTTGGTGTCTTCTCATTGCTGGAACTTGCTGACATGAATATTGTGTACCTTCCCCTGTTGGTTTTGAAGGGGGATTGACAGCCCGGGAAAATCGGCGCGAGCTGAGGCATCCTGTGCAAAGCCTTCTGGGAGAATATGCAAAACCGCCGCAGCTGCGATGGCGGACGCGCCAGGCGAGTCGGGTCCCCCTTGGGCCAGCTTGCGGTGATATGTGTTGGTGGAGTACGGAGGACGCTACGGGCAAGCCCCTTAAACAAAAGGGGGCATGTCCCTGCTAATGGAGATTAATGAAGGGCGGATCCACTTTAGATAAGTATCCGCCGGACCAATCTGCAGTTAGCATTCCCTCACTTCCTGAACTGTCACTTTTTGGGTTTGGACCAGTTTAGTGGAAAACAAAGTATTGGTTGTTTTTTTGCCAACCCACTCAGGAAGTGAGGCTAGGAAGAAATGAGGGATTCTCAAAGCGGCATTCAGACCTTCGTTTGCTTGGTATTCAAAGGGAAATCAAAAAGAAACCGTTGCCAATACAAAGCATAGACCAACAAAAATCATTATGAGAAGCAGCCATATATGGGTTGTGGTTGATGTTCAACTTTACACCAAGCACAAACAGAGAAACCTCAACACAAATCTGTTGATACCCCTTTAAACGAAGCATTTCGGAGGGGGTTGCTCATTTGGCGGTGCACTCCAATGGGGGTCATCCTCAAAAATGGAGGGTGTTATCCACCAAAGGATCCCGAATTAAACACATACCTAGAACGTCCAGGAGTGGAGAATGTCCGCTTTTCACCGAAACTACCGTCATTTCAGTCGTTTCCATCCAACATTGACTTTCCCTTCAAACGACACCTTTGGGACTCGTGTCACATGGAGGGCTCGGCCAAAACGCATCTGTATTGACGAAAAGTGCCGCCAGTTTCTTGCATCCCAAAATGACCAGCTTCAGGAAAATCGCCGGGCGAGAATAGGATGACTTTCCCATGGTTGTCGTTGGGAAACATTTTGCCCATTTTTGCTTATTGTGGTTTAGTGGTTGAAATCCAACCACTTGACTGCAAAACAATTAAATTGTTGCTCCCCGTCCAACGTCAACCAAGTTCCCTGAAAAAAGCAGCTGGCGGCAAAAAACGCAGTTAGGAAGATCCAGGTATATCACATACCGTATATCCACCCTGAATGGGAGCCCAGAATCCATCAATCACCAGCTTGGTTCATACAGATGTCCCTCCATGTCCGTTTTCGTTGGGCCTGCAAAAGTGGCTTTCAATAAAACCAGTGAATTGATGAACGTTTTCGGGCAAATCCAGGGACCCTCAAAAAAGGGGGGGGGGCTTTTCGGGGGAAGCCGCAGGTCGACATGCACATTGTTTGGCGAGCTCACCGATGAAACGACTCATCTAGTTCCTTTTGGATCCAAGTCTTATCCCTGTCCCCGAAAGCAAGACACATCCATTTCAGGTTTTCGGTTTGCTTAGAATGCGCAGATGGTTCCCCTTGAACTTTTTTTTTCTCGGGAATCCCCAACGGACGCCCTAGCCTTCTGGGGTCCCGAAACAGGCGCTGGCTGACGCCTGAAAAGATGCAGGCGGGTCCGCTTGCACTTTTGCCGGACCAACGCAGTCTCACGATTTCTGTTGGTCCATGGGCCCCAGAACTATGCTTCTCTCCCAAATGGGAACCAGTTTCATAGGGAACCCAAACAAATTTGCACCGGAAACAATCCCATTGAAGCAATGCCAAAAAAGGAATAGGCAAAAGGAAAAGGTAAAAGAAAGATATGCACCGGAGAAGATCTCCCTCAAAAAAACAAAAATCGGCACGGCCAAGTAAGGTTTTTGACATGGTCGATGGTTGGCCTGTGGGAGCAGAGGCGCAATAAGCTGCCAATACCCAAGTACCGTTGGTTGGTACCTCGGGATGTTTGCATGGTGCGAAATGGATTTCGCAAATATCCACAGTAGGTGTCCTTTTTTGGTTGTGAAAGGTAAAGAAAAATAGCATGGGGTTCGATCCCTGGTTTACCTGTTTTTTTTTCTCAACCAGGGAAACTCATCTATTTGCCCTAAAAGGATACCTATGTGCTTGAACCTTTTCTTCCTGCGAGGTTTGGTTTTGTGGACTTCCCGTTTTGGGATCCTTCTGACAGTTTGTTTCAGGTTCGCTTTGGTGTGGTCCCCAAACGGAGGTTCGTCTAGAGATGATTGGGCCGATGATATTTTTCGGTTGCATGCTAACTTCTCCAAGAGTCCAAGATGGTGCTGGGGTCAAAGTACCTCCTTAGAAGGTACTTGGACCCATAAGGTTTGCAGAGGACATCATCATCAATTAGTGCAGTTATTGTTGCTTTTGAACGAGTGATCATGCCGGCCCCCACACGCCAGGGTTAAGCAAGCTCTTGCTGGGCTAAAGCGTTAACCGTAGGTGGTCGCTTGTCTTGACTCTTAATAAGTATCCACTTGGGCCACCATTTTGGCTCAAGTGGACCTTTTGATCTTTTGTCTTGTGATTTGAAATCCCGCCCACCCACACCATGGCGGTGACACCAGATGAGTTGGTGGCACCACCACAGGAAGTTCCTGGAGTGTACACGGACGCAGTGGCTAAGCTCCACAAGACCGCCAGGAACCTCATGGTCCTCAAGGGCATCCCGTGGTTCATCCAAGCGACACTGTCGGATGAGGGCTTTGTCTCGATGGAGGACCTCGCGACCCGGTGGGACTCGCCCGACCGTGCAAGGGAGACGGCGCCGGGGGAGTTGGGCTTCGCCCCCAACAACCACCACTACACGGATGTGACCTCCCGGCTGATCGCGGCCCGCATGTTCCAGGTGGTTCACGCGGCTCAACGATCCATGGGAGTTGGGGCGCATGCAACAGCGGGACCCGGGCCACACACGCCCGGGGACACCGCCCCGAATCTCACGGTCTCGTGCGAACGGGGACAGCTGGAGAGGGTTTGGGAGGAGAAGACCAAGCTCACCAAACCCAAGCTGGCCCTTCAAGGAAGCGACCAGCTGGTGAAGCGCCAGTTCAAGCTCTGCGCAGGAGGCGAGATCGGTTTCATCCCCATGAAATACCTGGTAAGCGCACTCCCGGAGCCAGGAGAACGGCCATGGAAGACCACTAAGAAGAGCACGGTTGATGGCTGGGACCGGGAGGATGAGGTGGAAGAGCGGGGCGAGCCCAAAACTCGCCACCAGCTCGAGAGGATGCACGCGGTGTTCCGCAACACCCTCCTCATGTGCGTCCTCTCGTTCCCGCAGTTCGGCCAGTTCGACATCACCCGGGAGGACTTGGAGAGCTGGTACGAGTGGTTCTATGGTGAGGACATCGGGGGCCGTTTTCCCCCGCCAGAGGACCACGTCCTGGCAATTGCCGAACGCAACGCATGGCGAAAGATTCACGAGAAGATGCATGAGGGCAACACCCTCAAGGCGGCCATGCTGTCGGTCAGGCAGGACACATTGTTCTGGACACGTGAGGTCTATGAGAAGATCAAGACCTTTTCCAGGGGCCGCCCATCAACCAGGACATCCATGGACTACGCAAGGGCAAGAACAAGTCCAAGGGCAAGGGGAAGTCCAAGGGCAAGCCTGGGAACAAAGGGAAGGGTAAGACCCCCCACCTGAACAATCAGGCGTCCCGGGGCGGTAACAAGCGGGCAACTGCGGCCGCACCCACAAGTGCAACCTCATCCTGGCAATGGGCCGCATCTGCCTGGGGGACCACCTCCCGCAGGACTGCCCGGGTTGACTAGGGGCGCTGACCCCTACCCCCCGGGAGGTGCCAAGGGCCCTGATAAGGCCCGGGGAGGCGAAGGGGCGCAAACGCCCCAAGCAGGCACAGAAGCCCCCTCCTGCAGGTGCCGAGGGCCCTGACACAGGGGGGGGACAGGCCAGGTGGCGGCCATCCTCGGCGGAACAAGGATGGGGACGGCAGAACCAGCGTGCACAACGCCCTCGCCGTGATCAGAACAGCCACACAACCGGCACAACGGCGGCGCCTCAGTCCCGAGCCACAGGTGCCGAGGGCCCTGATATGGCGGGGACGGGACGGTTCCCCGCAGGTGCCGAGGGCCCTGACACGGGGGGCCGCACCCAGAAGGCCCGAGTGCCGGATGACTGGCAGCACACCGCAACGCCAAGGGACACTCCCAGGAAGCAGCCGATCCCACTTCCGGCGCCCAACATCATCAAGCAGGACCCGGTGGTTTTCCACAAGAGCTCGGTGGGGCTGAATGAAGGGGGCCAACGCCTTTCAGCTACCCCCCTGACAAGTCCAACGGAGCCGTCACCGGGATTGGACATCTTCCCGTGGATGGAGAACATCCCTGAGCGTCTGGTACAGCGGCTGAGATGGACACAGGGCACATCGCCCAAAGTTCCATCCAGTGGGCCCATCATTGTCCTGCTCTATGCAGGCAAGGAAGACCCAACTTCCTTGGACAGCTGTCTTCATGCCAACTACCCACACCTTTCCAGCATGGTGGTGGCGGTAGACATCCTACGGTCTGGACCAAAAGGGGACCACGATATGCTCCAACCCGAGCTGTATGGAGCTCTTTGCACGGCAGCAAAGCAGGGCCGAGTGGTCTTCATTGGAGGAGGACCCAACTGCAGGACATGGTCCATCCTGCGCCACATACCAAAACCGGGGGCTCCCACCCCGGTGCGAGGGCGCACTCCAGAGACACTTTGGGGCCTTCCACACCTGGACCAGGCCGCCCAGACTCAACTTGATGATGACAGCATCCTCATTCTGAGACAGATGTACATCACCAGCCTGGCAAGGGCCTCACGAGCGGCGGTTTCTCTGCCAGGGCCCAGGTCCTTCCTGGAACACCCGGAGGACCCAGTGGTGAGCAGCTCGCTGCCCAAAGCCAAGGAATGCTCATCCTTCTGGATCACAGAGGAGGGGCAGCTTTGGATGGAGGAGAACTCCTTGACAGCAATCTCCTTCGACCAGTGCCGCCTGGGCCAGCTGGTCAAGAAGGCCACTACGCTGGCCACGGATCTCCCGATCCAGGACTGGGATCAAATGCGGTGCACGCATCAGTCACATGTGGGCACCAACGAGTCCTCGACTCTTAGCAGATACCCTTGGGATATGATGGCAGGCCTGGCCAAAGCCATCGCTGTGTCACTCGCAGCGCCGGGGCACATCCGGATCCCCTCACAATTTCCGGGAAACCCCAAGGAACCACCTAAGGGGCGGGGGTCGGACCCCCCGGAAGGCCATTCCCCCCGGGGAAAACGGGGGCCCAGTCAAGGAGGCGGTCCCTCCTCATCACACCAGGGCTCAAAGCCCGGAGGCAAGAACGCCCCGAAGCCCCGCCTGCACGGGCAGTTCCACCCTGAGGCAGACACCGTAAGCCCTCGTGGAACAATGAACCCAGACTTCCCATCTCCCATGCCCCCGATGGCCGGAGATGCGGAACAACTGGGGAAGGAGGGACAGGGGGACCAGGTCCTGGACCGCCCCGAATGCCTGCCCGCTTTCAGGGTCCCACACCTCACTGACCGGGTGGCGATTGTCCAATTGGGTTTCCGCTCACGCCCCCTGAGGGATGGGGGGGGAAAACCTTGCTCAACCCCCCTTTTCGGAGAATTTCCCCATTGGCTACTTTGGGCGCCCTGATCATGACCCTTACCCGGCCCTGGATTGACAAGGTCCGAATGTCCCTGGCATCAGGTGCCACCACACACCCCTTCCAGGAAGCCGACCTCGAGGAGCTGCGGGCTATCCTAGGACCGAGGCACCTCCATGAACGATGCCCAGGACAACCCTTCCTCCTGGACTTAGTGTCGCACTTGGCATCCCTTTCAGGTGACCCTGATTGGGAGTTCCCCCTAACACTGAAAGAGGGGGTCCCCTTGGGAGTCTCGGACCCTACCTTGACCTCCCCGGGAGTTTGGCCCACTAAGGAGGAGCTTAAGGGAGAAGCCTGGCTGGGGGAAGATCCCCCCCCGCCAGTGGCTCATGATAACTACCCAACGGCTGAACTCTTTGCCAAGGAAATCGAATCAACCTTTTACGAGGAACGAGCCTTGGACATGGTGGACGGGCCCTTCACTCGCTCCGAGGCGGCAGAGAGGTGCCGCTGCAAACCGGAGGAACTTTGCCCGGGCCCCCTTGCAGGGATTGATGAGTCGGACAAGATCAGGACGATCTATGATGGCTCAAAAGGGGGAGCAAACGCACACATCCAGGCTCACACGGAGGAGAAGACCACCGCACCGATGGTTGGAGACTGCCTCCATGCCATCCACTGGCTCAGGACAGCGGCGGACCATCCTCATCTACTCCGAGCCCCATCCTCGGGCACTGATGAGGAACCTCGGGATGTTCACCAGCCGGTGCAGGGGCAGTCCCCAGGTGCCGAGGGCCCTGAGAGGGACCCCCACAGCACCAGCCTGCCCCCAGGTGCCGAGGGCCCTGATAGGGGCAGGCGGATGATGGAGACCTCCGGCGGCCTGGACGTCTCTCCGCGGTCAACACCCTCAGGGAAGGGGCCACTCCCAGGTGCCGAGGGCCCTGATAGGAGGGCCCCATTCCCCCCAACCCCCCCAGGCACGGAACGCCCTGGGGGGAGCAGGGGGGAACCCCTGACGTGGCAGCCGCCGACACAGGGGGAAACCTTCATCATCCTCAAGGCGGATGTCACCAAGGCCCACAGGCGCATAAAAGTGCTCCAGAAAGACTGGAAATACCAGGTGGCCTGCATCCAGAACCGGTGGTGGGTCAATAGAGTGGGCACGTACGGCATGGCCTCGGCACAACTGTACTGGGGAAGAAAGGCATCCTTGGTGCTCAGACTCTTGTACTACATCTTCCCTCAGGTGGACTGGCACTTAGTTTTTGTGGACGACTACTGCTGGGTCCTCAGATGCAGCAGGGCGGACTGGGACGCCACAGCCATCCTGGCCACTCTTCTGGCGCTGGGAGTCCCGCTTTCTTGGAAGAAGACGGCGCTCTCCCCGGTCAATACCTGGTTGGGATTCGTGGTGGACCCAATCACGCCCTGTGTGCTGCTGGCTCCAGTCAAGCACGTCATAATCCTGGCCACTCTCAAACGGCTGGCCCAGGGGGACATCTTTACCAGCAAGGAGGTGGAACAAGCCCTGGGCCGGATTCAATGGGCTACTTCGGCGTGTCCATTGACGAAACCTTTCCTCCAGCCCTTTTGGAGCTGGAAGAAGGCCTGCACCACTTCGGGCAGGCCACCGAAGCTGGTTCGTGCTCTGGCCATCCTTCTGGGGAAGCTCTTCAACCAGAGGTTCCCACTGGCATCTCCATTTGCTCCCACACTTCCATGGACGGGGGCATCTGATGCGGGAGCTGGCAAACAGGCGGACCATGCATGGGTTGGTGGTTGGTGCTCGGACGTGCCCAACCCCGACAAGTCCCGAGTGAAGTGGTTCCAACACAGAATCACACCGGAGGGCGAGCCGTGGGCCTTCACTACTGGGGACCCGCAGCGGGCGATAGCGGCCTTGGAGCTCTTCGGCCTCCTCCTTTTGGTGAGGGCTGTTCTGCTTTGTGCAGCCGGCTCGGCTTCTCACACTAGGATTCTGGTTGCTAGTGATAACCAGGGAAACGTTTTCTCCCTGCTTAACGATTCCACTCGCAGGATGCCCAATGCGGCCATCCTCATGGAAATTGTGTTAACACTGCATGACCACCAGGTCATGTTAGGACCGTCGCATGTGAAGCGCGACTTTAACACATGGGCGGATGAACTTACTCATCCGGACCCGCAATTTCCGACTGAGAACCGGGTCTTCCCCTCAGTCGAAAGCGAATTGATCAAGCTGATCTTCGCTACTTTCCTTCCTCACCCATGATGCCGGGAGGGCATCCGGTGAGGTGGGAGGATTCCTCCCTCGCTGTGGGAGTGGCATCAATTCTACTCCCATCAGCTGCTGAGGGGAGCTGCCCAGTGGAGCTGGGCAATCCTCCCATTTTGGCACTAATCCTTATGCGGCGTAAAGGATGCACCGTTTCGCGATTAAGGTACCAGTAGCACCAATGTGGTGCTTTGAAGAGTCAAGTTGAGTTTGTTAGCGAGGTATCACACCCTCTCGACACGGTTTCATGAGAGTTCCCTGATATCCCCAAAGCCAATAGCTAGTAAAGCATCTCGTAGTCCGAGCCGTCCTTTTCCGCCAGACCTCTTTTTGCAGGCGGGTGTTTTGTTTGTTTCATCGGGTGCAGTTGGCCTAAAAGAAGCTTCGGGTGGCCAGGATGTGATTCGATGGAACATCAATGCCACAAATGTGGCACAAGAGCTGCAGCGACAGGGCATGACTAAGGCGGGAGCTTTATTCGGTTTGAGCGGGCATCCAGGGCTGGGCTGAGTACATGTTGTCGGTTGGGGGTCATGAAAGTCAGAAACTGGTTGGTGGTTTCCCTTCACCCTCCAGATGGCTGTTGCTTGTATCTTAGTTGCCCTGCCTATGGTGTAGGGGGTTGGGAATCCATGAGAGTGGGGTCGGCAGAAACAGGAACCAACACACGCCTTTTTATTCGCACGGGGGGAGCCGTTGGGCAAATGATCGGGGATCGCTGGTGTTGGTAGTTGTGCCTTTGTAGGCAAAGGTGTTGTTGGACGTTGGCTTGACGTGCGGCTAAATTATGTGCAGAGTTGTTCCGATCCCTTATCATTCAATGACCAGAAGGGGCCCGGATCGTTGGTATTCTGGGTCCTAAGTTCCTTTCAATGACCAACTTGCTATTTTCTGCGGGTGGAATGGGAGCAACTTTCCCACCAACACTGCCTGCCTCCTTTCAGTGGCCTTCCCCTCGCATCCAGGGGGGTCCTTCTTCGCAGTAGAACAAAGAAGCAGAGACTCACTTGGGCCACGATCAAAACCGATTCGGGTAAGTGGAGGTTCATGGGGGATCCAATTCGCCCAGAATTGGGTGCAGCCATGTTTGAAAAAAGAAACATGGTTCTGGGTATATCTGTTTAATACCAGGTGTTGAGTGATTGTGACTCCCTTGCCCAAAACGCATCAACTGGATCTGATCTTTTAGTTCCCTGATTTGGTCCATTTTTGTAATCATGGCCCCAAAAGGACAACCTTTTGTTTTTGGGTCCTTTGAATTACTGAGCAGATCGTGCATGTTTTTTTTGGGGGCCCCAAAGATGCTGGAATTCCGACTAGGAGTTGGACGTTTCGCAGGGGATCTGAGGACAGCCCAGAGGATCACTACTACCTAGGTCCCCCAGTAGTGCCCTTCTCTCCCCTTTTTTGGGGGAGGGTTCCCCTACTAAAATCAACTACAGAAAGAAGGGTACCCTTATTCTAACCTCTCTACTGGACGACCTAGACTAAGAATCCTGGGACCTCACCAAACAAAAATCTCCGTTTTTTGAGGTCCACGAGCTGATGCTTCGGGCCTACCGCCCATGGAATGCCATCCGCTTTTCCCTAGCAGTTGCTTTAAAAGGACCCGCTGGGACCCCCAAAAGCGGGTCAAAAGCAAGCTCTTGGAGTGGAAATGAAGCAGAAGCGAAAACAAATTTAAGGGCTGCCGCCCAGTGCCGCCGACCCCTTCATCTCAGATAGCGCAAAGTCGGGGATACGGAGCAGAAGCGGGGAGGCCGCGCGCTCCTCAAGAGAGAAAAAAGAGTGGAGAGATCAGTCAAAAGCATTCGCTTTACTGCAGCTCCAGGCTTGCCAAGTGTCTTTGCGATCCCCCCCAATCTGGTGAATCAAACCATCAACCAGTGGTTCCAACAAAGGTTCCTTCACCACCTGCTTCACAAGGGAATCGTCTTTTTCTCAACTGGTAAGAGTGATTTCTAAGATGGCAAAAAAAAACGTATCCTTTAAGGGACCCTGTCCAATTCACTTCTTTGGTCCATACCTTCCGCCTTGGACCATGGCGACACTTGGGGCGCTGGCTGCTGCTCGGGGCCTCGGCTGAGTCCGCGCAAATGGGTATCTTTTTTTTGAGGGTGTCCCCCTTTTTTGTGGCTTTTAAAGGAAAACCAAAGGGAAACCCAGGATTTTGGGGGGTCCCTTAAAAAAAGGCAAACCTATATCTTTCACCCTCTATCCTTCCAGCCACGAAGATTTCCTGGGTTGCGCTGTGCAGGCCATCTCTCTGCGATCCATGGCACGGGACATGATCTCTCGGACAATCGGGGAGTGTAATTCTGTGGTGCAAAGTTTGCCAAGGGATGTTAGTTGACTTTAACCTTTTTGATCCAACTAATAAGGGGGTTTCTCAAAGTTGGGGGCCGATTCCTCCAGGTAGGCTTCGGTTTCCTGTTGGTTTCCGGCTTGGTTGTGCAAAGGCTTCCCTGGAAGTTTGAAGCAAATGCGAAACCAGCAAACAGTAGCCAAGCATTAATTGCTGGTCCTCAGGATAACGTATCGTCCCTCTCGAAAACTCGCAAACTGCGCGCCAAATGCAAACATACAGGCGGTCAATGTTTTGTGCTTTCGGGTCTGTGAGAGCGAGTGTTGCAGGCAGGCGTATTTTGTCAATGCGGATTATCCCCTGGTGGTATAAAATTTTGACCCACACGGGAGGCTTCCATGGAGCCCGCGTTACTGTCAGCGGTCAGGACGTCCAGGTGCATTCCGTCGCCTCGGAGCCGACATTCTTCGGGAACCACGCGCCGCCGGATGATTTGGACGGGCAGATCATCGACCTGGCCCGGGGGATTTTGGGGGGGGGGGGGGGGGTGTTAGGGAGGAGTGGAGGAGATACATACCTACATGGATACAGACAGACAGACAGACAGACAGACAGACAGACAGACATACCACCATCCAGCGGCTTCAGGCTTTGCCCTTCGCTGCGGACCTGTCGATCCATGCCCTTCACTCAAGGCCGGGAGACGACAAATGCGTGGTTGCCCTGCGAATTTGGGTTTGTATCCGAATGGGTTTGTGAGATGTTTACAGTTGAGTAGATGACACAGCTATTTCTGTTGTTGCTTGTGCTCATGAGTTTGCGTAGTGTTTGTTGGTGCCCCTGAGTGCGGCTACATCGCTTCTGTTGTCGCATATGCATTTGCCTGAAACCGCTGCTGGAAAGCGATTCGCTAAAAAATGGCGATCCCGTGGGCCTACCCGATTCGTTGCTTAGGTGAATCAATGCTATGCCCCTGTTTTTGTTTCTTGTGCAGGGTTTTGAAGGAGGCAGCATGAGCGTCCTCTCGGTTTTTCCTCTTGGTTTTTGGGTTGGCTTTTCAGGGGCGTCCTTTTGAAGCCGCACGGAGGGCGGAAAGTGTCCCGTTGTTGTTATGCTTTCTTAATCTACTCAGAAATCACCCTGCTTATAGCTTCCTTTGAACTGTTTGTGCACCAAAACCGGGCGTTCAGTTTGAAGACGAGCGAAAAGGGGGATTTAAAGTTGGTTATGTTCCTTGGGTTCTCCATCACGTGGTAGTCTTTGGGGTCTTTTTGGCTGCTACTTCCAGCAGACACACACATACATTTCTCACCACACTCCTTTCCAGCGAGTCAAAAATCTGGTGATGGTGGTGATGCGACGCGCTTTTTCTTGCCATAGGATGCTTATTCGTTTCGTCAAGAAAATTTAGTTTGACCTCTTGCTTTCCAGCTATTGCACCGCAGATGATGCTGGTGATAAACATTCTTTTTTGCCACAAGTCGCTCTTCTGTGTCGTCAAGAAAACCTTACTCGCGCACAATAAGCAGTAGTTGGAAGATGTTGGAGAGATGTCCCCCTTGAGTGTCAGGAGTCTCTTTTTGTTTGGTCTCGTCGAGCGTACAACAAGAACACGTAAATTGTTGGAAGGCGGCGGGAAAATGGCTGCTTACGGGACGGCAGGCAGAGATTACCCAATGGCAGACGAAGGCCGGCGAGCGCGATGGCGTTTTCGACTAGTGTGAAGCAAGACGTGTGCATTTCCATGTACCCAACGCAAAGCTCGATGTGCCCAACTGTTGTTGTGCTGTGCTGCCTCAACATTGGTCCAGAGGTGCTGTGAAGAAAGGAACCCGCCAACGGCCAGATTAGGATGCCCAGTTACGCGACTGTGTTTTCTGGTTTGCTTGCGCGTGTGTTTAAAAGAAGTGACAAAGACACGGGCTTGTAGTTTTCTTGTAGGCTCCGGGCAACATGTTTATGTACCGGTTTCCGATTTCCAGCATGAGAACATCCATCTTGGTGGCTTGCATTGTCTTGAGACTGGCTCGGTGGAAGAATTTTGTACGTGCTGATATTGGAATGCAGTCAATTGGGAAACGGCGTACGCCTTGTTCCCCAAGTGCTTTCGAATCTGGAACAAGGCGCCTCCCTTCTTGTCTACTGTGGCTTTTGTTGGCACACTTTTTCTAGGGTCCCCTTGCAACAGGCCTTGCGGTTTTCATGTATCAGTAGCTCGCGTTCTAGCTATTTTGTCTTTCAAGGTGGCAGCTCTAGTTAGCTTTGCTTTCCATGGCGGTGGCGGTGAAGAAGCGCCGCGTGTCCGGGGCGACACATACCCCAGCCGCCTCGGTGACGGGGAGTCTTTCTGCGCTCCATGTGGCAGCCGCGGGCAGCGTGACGGGCCCGGTGGAAGCTGTTGTGGTTGCTTGCGGGGAGTTGCGTGGCGGCAAGGTTCCGGTCATGGACTTCGTGGTGGCGGACATGTCGACGTTGATGGTGGTCGTGCTTCTCAGCTGCGTTGTGGAAAGGTCGGCTGCGGTTGCATTGCAGGGGCTTTTTGTTGCAAGCGGCTGTTTTTGTGTTGGGCAGGGAATTCTGCTCTAACCCGAGGCTGTGGCGAGAGGTAGCGGCGCGGCACGCGCGCGCATTGCGCCAGTTGTACGAAAGTGAGTCGGATCTTCTGCCACGGGTTCGCTTGTCTGGCTTTCGTCTGACTAATCCGCAGCCGAGTTATATATCGCCTTTGGAGACGAAAGAGTTGCATGCCTTGCCGACTTCTTCGATTGAGATGCTGGAGCCCGGTGCATTGAATATGCAGCCAGGGCTTGCGAACTATTTGTCACAGTACACGGCCATGCTGCAGCATCCACGCGCTAAAGTAAATCTCATCGGCCAGTTGCTGGTGTCTACCACGCTGGGACAAACGGCTCGCGGAGCTTCGTCCTTTACTTTCAAGTTGAAGGATAGGAGCGGTCGCTGGGCAAGCAGTGGTTTGGTTTCTCGCGTTGGTAGAAGATACTTGGAGTGTTCTGCTAGGTTGGCAATGCCGCCTTTTGCGAGGGACCCTTTTGCAGGCACCGGTGTTGCACGCTAGATTTCTGTAGGATGCTGCTGAGGATTGCAGATGGATTGCTGTGCAGTGGGTGCCAACGCGGATGCTGCGGCAGATCTTCCCCAT